GACCAGACGATTGTCCCTTTTCTAAGGATGTAGGAATGCAGGAATGAAGGGACCACCAGCACCTTTGGAGAAATTGAATAGTCTCTGTTAACTGCAGAGCAGGGTTGATAGTAAAAGTTTACCTTCATACTATTAGTGGGGATGATGTCCGGAACAGCAAAGGCCAGGTTGTAGCAATTAACAAAGGTTACTAATGTAATTATCGTTAAGGACAGCCAGGCCCGAGTGCAATGAAATTGCCTTTATCCACAGGGATGAGTATCTGGTGTTAGTTAATGGATTATGTTGAAGGGGAAAGATAGATAAGCAGGCAACAAAGGCGTCACTCCACCTGAATAATCAGATAATTCAAAATGTCATCCAAAGTCTGTGTGTCTGACACTTTGAAAGGCCAAAACTCGAAACATCAGACTTTGGAGTAAGGAAAGTTTTATCAATGGAGAAGACGCCAACTGGGTTGATGGGGGACCTAATCCGCAAATTCACCTTAAGAAAGCACTGAGTTTGGGCTTCTTTTATGTCAAGGAAAGGGGAAATGGGAGGGAGAAGAGGCGACTGGTGGCTCAGAAACATCTGGGTGCCAGCAGGTGTCGGAGGAAGATTGCACTAGTCGATGTGAATCTCATGATGAGGTTCCGGCAAATTTTCAGTAAACAAAACATACTTTTCTTATCTCCTCGAGAGAGGCACTTTATAGTAAGGGGTTGTTTTTGTAAAACTGAAGTCAAAGGCAGAATTCCTCTAGTGGTTAGCAAGTCTATATGCAAGACTAAGCAGAAGCTAGAAGCCTGAAGGCCAACAGGCCTGAACAGGATGGATTAAAAAAGGTTCAGCATTTCACTCTGTTACGGTGACAGTGTAAGCAGCATCTGGTGTTAGCTGTTGCAATGGAAAATTGTGGTTCCTCATCTAGTTTCCAGATCTCAAGCAGTTTACAAACCCAGATCCTTCAATTGAAGGGGAGACTTAGTATTTAGCAGACTCGTAACTCTGGATCCTTAACCTGTAGTATTAGAGCTGTAACGGGTGGAAAACCCTAGTGGAAGTCTTTGAAACTCTTCATACCGAAGTGTTAAATTAGAGGCAATATTGAACTCCAGATGAATTGTAGATATTTGTTCAAGCCCCGAAGACTTGAAAGATGCAGGGATATTACTCTCCAGGGCTGTCTACTTACTGGCGAATATTTTAGGTTTTGAAAACTTATCTTCCCATCTGTTGTGGATAATGTTGTTGATCTCTTTGTCATGTATCCTGACTACAGACTCCCACTGATAGTCTGTAATAAGTTGACTTACCCAAGCTGTATCTTTATCTGGTCTTTCCGTCAATCTGAGTCTGCTATTGATACTTATCAATATGGTGTTTACATAGTAGGTTATGCATTACAAATACACTTTCCCAGCACGGGGCTTGTTTTTCTGCTTTTGTGTTATACTATATACATAACATAATTATCATTTAAATTACATATTACACCATGACTTTTCTTTTACTTTATTGATTAGAATTTCTTTTCATACTGATTCTGCCTCAGTGTCAATCCATGACTTTACTTGGCTATTTCTGTCTCATTTTTTGACTGTATATATCCACTGTGATAATTTGTGCAACAGAGATCACATATAACCTTCCTTGCTCCAATCCATCTTTCATTCTGCCATAATAGTTACTATTTTAAAATACGTAAAATACAGACTGGATCATGCCCTTTTCTACTTAGGATCTTTTAATGGTTCCCAAGTAAATTATTGTATTAACAAACATTTACATAACACTATGTGACAGGCACTTTTTATGAGTTTTACATATATTAATTCATTTAATTCTAAACAAAGCAAAACTATGAAGTGAGTAGTATTATTATTTCACCTCCATTTTACAGATGAAGAAACCAAGGCACAGTGAGGTTAGGTAACTTGGAAAAACTGGGAATTCAAATCATGTGTTCTGGCCCTCAAATTAGGGCTTTAACCTCTTCCATTACATGGTTTTCCTAACCAAGGTTACCCTCTGAATATAGAGCTAAGTCAAAATTTCTTAGCATGTCTTCCAACTACCCACTATGGGTAATCATGCTTCTCTTTCTGTCTTATATTCTGCCCTTGGATCTATTGCAGTTTGTGGTTTACCGCACTAGACAGATTATTTATGTAAGTTGCTGTTTATGTTTATGAACGTATCTTACTCAAGCTTTTCCAGCAGTCAAGGATATCCTTATAAATATTTCATGTTATTTATTTTCATTCACTCATTGCAACAAAGATTTGAGTCATACTCTATGCCAGTTGCCAGGCTGGGGTGCTAGGTTATCACAGTCAATAGGTAAATCCTGTTGCAAGAGTTTCTATTAATGAGGGGTAGTTACTGTCCAGGCCTAAAACATCATCTCTCCTACAATCCACTGCTCTCTTTCCAGTTCAAGGCTTCGTCTTGAGACTCCTCTAGCATTTTTTTAACCTTCATCACAACACACTTAACAGCATGCCTGTTTTTATCACATTTAGTTGCGTGTCATCTGCTTCTTGTAGAGAATGTGTGGGTTCATTTATGCATTGTATGTCACCCTAAAGAAATGGTTGCATTTACTGAATGAAAGGATAAAGAAGTTAAAAAATAGAGTCTAAATGAGATGATGATGTGGCAAGGGGAGAATGTTGTGCTTTTTTAAAAAAAAATTCCATGTATATGTACATATTTAGGACAGCCCAAATGATTAAAAACTAAATTAGGAATAGAAAGAGTACTAGCCTTATTCATTCTTGCTATAACAGTTACTTTAGAAGATAAAGACTTTTGGATGGGCAAAAAGGATCCCTGCAGCCTGCAAAGACACTAATTATAAGGAAACAGCAATTTACATTATTTATAAGGAAGCTATTTACATTACTTAGCCCTGTCAGAAACAACAGTTGCAGAGCTCCATTCTTTTACTACAGTGAAAAGAATAAAGCAAAGTGACAAGGACATAGAAAAGGTATTCTAATAGCTGCATCTCATTATGAGAAAAATAATACCTCTTAAATCTTAAAAAAAATGTTTCAAGTGTAATTTACATTAAGCAAGATGAAAACTCATTTTACCATGAGGAAATAGCACATTTAAATTATTCAAACAAGCTCCAAAAACTATGGAAAGTTAAGCATTGTTAACATAGTATGTGCAAGGAGGAAAATGACTAAGGTGCAGTGTTTCGTAAGTCAAGTATTTGAAATTAATTAGTCACAGTTTATTTTACCAGTGACTTTGAAATGTATCTGCAGTATAAGTAAGGTTGTGAGATCATGGGAAAAAACCCCACTTTATCTGTTTTATTTTTATTTTCTTTCCTCCTCTCTAACCACTTTAATTTTATCCAGCAGTTTCACTTTCATCAGTGTAATAGGGAGGACTCAATGGCAAATTGCACCAGCTTTTGAGCCTAACTGGACAAGTCTGTTATGTGAGAACAAGGATAAGATGAGAAGAGAATGATTTACTGAGCTGATTTTATTTAAAGATTTTTAAAAATACTTTTTGTAAAAGCCCCAAGGATGAATTTTATTTTAGGCCTAAAAATGTAAAAGTCTTAACATTTTTATTGCTCATGATAAAATTTGAAGCAAGGTAAAATCTTGATCAAAGGATGATTTCTACATCCTGGTCAGAGAACTGTAACTCCTTCTGTGAGGTGACAGAGAACCAGGAAGCAAAGTCATCATAGTTTTCCTTCAAAGAATATTAGAGTACAGTGCACATGACAAATTATGCCAGCCTCACATATTAGCACAAACCCACTGAGCCTGCAAAAAAATTAGGTCAGAACTGAAAGAAATCAGGCTGTGGTCCAGTAACTTTCTTAATCTTAAGTGGAAAATTGGGTTCACAGGGTGTTAGGGCCACTATATGTATTTTTAAGTGTGATAAAACCAGTAACAATTTCCAGTGTTAGGGGCCTGTTTTTCTAAACCATCAAATATTTCTGGTCCTTGTTGTAGATAATTTTTGGCATTGCATAATGTACAAGAAAGCAGGTTTCCTATTTGTTGGAAACTCACTGATTGGTTGGTTGATTGATCTTATTGTTGTTCATAACATGCAGGCACAGAAGTACTTTCCTTGCTCCCAAATATTACCCTTGAGGCCTGTAGTTTCCCTATACGAAGCAAAGTCTCCTAATATCCTCATTTAAAATGAAAAAATATTTTGAGAGTTAATACTTCAAACCACTAGTACACATTAATTTCCAATAGTTAAGGTCGAGTAAAATGCTTTTTAATTTAGAATATAATGAAAATTAGGATATGTTTGAAGTACAAATGAATCAATATAAAGGAATCATAATTATTAGACACAGACATCATTCCCACAGTTACAGACCTCAACGTATAAATAGAAGAGAATGGACCAGTTGTATGTACTTGATTTTTAAGTGGCTTGTCAGATATTTTCAAAATTTCGATTTGATTGATAAGCTTAGTGTTTTGGAGATGGTCAATACAGCCTACTCATTTTGAGCACAGGCTTGGAAGACCTGGTGCCTCACCCCTATGGTTTACTCTGACCTTGGTCAAATGACTAAACCTCTGCAAACGCTGGTCTTTTAAACTGTGAAATGGAGATAATAATATCCTAAGTTGTGAAGATATAATGACTGAGATTTCGTTTCAAATGCTTAGAACAATGCCTTGCACATATTAGTGATGACGGTCATCATTACGTGGTCTAAATGAAAAAGGTATGGTTTGAATTTGTAAGTTCCGGCACTCCTATTTGCTGGCTCGCTGTCCACAACTTTCTCTCTCTCATCAGTGAGTAGACGGGGTGTGTGTCGGGTGGGGGGCGTCGGGGACGGAGGACCCTCAGGAGCATCATTCCTTTTTAGACCCGGTTCTTTCTTCCTTTGCCCTCCAGGGGCCGCCGTGTTTCCCCGAAAACGCTCTGGAGGCTTGGTTGCCGCGAGACCGTCGCCAGGCAACCGCGTGTATATACGCTTCTTGTCCGGCCTGGGTCTCGACAACATGGCGGCGCAAGGCCCCTCTTCTAGCGGTCAATCCAGCAACACCTCAGCCACCTCGGTGTCTCTCCTGGGACCAACACCGCCCCCGCCCTCAAACACGGTCTCAAAGTCGCCCCAGGAGTCAAAGGCGAGCTCTCTGAACCAGCTGCCTCGCTCCACCTGCTGCGAGGACTCCTTGCCCCTCGCCGTGTTTTACGGTCCGCTGGACGCTAAAAACCCGCTCCTGGCCTCCTGTGAGAAGGAGATACAGGAGTTGCTCAGCTTTATGAAGAGAAAGAAGGCTTTAGTGACAGCGGAGGAGCAGAAACACGAGTTCCACCGACGCTGGTAAGTGGAGGCGGGGCGCTGGGGCGGGGCTGGCGGCAGAGCTGCGGGCAGCCTCGGGGCCGGGAGCGGAGACGCCCCTGGGGCGCGCAGGCAGCGGTCCCGGGCCTGGGTCGGTGGTGCGGGAGCAGAACCCTCCCGGCGCAGGAGCCTTGGTGACGTGGACAAAGTTCAAGAACTGGAGATGCATAGCTCTTCCGTCCTTAATTACATCTTGACTTCTTGCTCGGGTCAAACTAAAAACACAGCAATATTACATTTGTTCCCTTTCAGAGTGTCTCCTAATTGCTACTGCAGGTCAATAAACCTGAGGCTCACTCACCGGTTTTACAGCTCTCCGTGTTGGGGGTACAGTTTGGTGTACGGAGAAAAAGGAATAACTTTGAGGTAGATTAGGTTCTTGAAAAAGTTCTTGGTGCCATGAAGTATGTCATTCTGCGAACATGTGCCTTTGATTCCTTTTCGTAATGCTAGGATCACATTGACTTCTTGATTTTGTGACTCATTTTGCACATCTGTTTCCCTTTTGTGAGATTCTATCACCATGTTATTATCTCGAACTGCACTAACCTGTTTTTAAGTTTATTTTCTGTTTGTTACCATCTTTTTCTCTCTCCTCCCAGTCAAAATACAGTGCAAACTGACCAGTTATAAATCTAGACAAGTGGCAAAGAATATAGTGTCAACTTATATTTTATTTATGAATTTCATAGAAAGAAATAGTTTTAACTTATATTTATCGTCCTTTCATACATTTGATTATTTATTGAGCATCTACTATATGTAAGGTGCCCTAGTAGGAAACCATCAAGTGAACAAAAGATATACTAATCTATGTCCTCATGGAGCACATATTTTTGCGACTACAGAGTGCTACTAAACAAATATGTAAGGAGATTGTTTCACAAAGAGATCAGCGGAGGGGAGAAAATTAGGTCAGGTAGTGGGGATGGAGGATATGGGATGAATGTTTCAGTTTAAAATGGGGTGATGATGAGGATGGTGAGGGAAAGTCAGGAAAAGTGGACTTTGAGAAAGGTGTGCAGATAAGGTAGCAAGTGATGAGGATTTCTGTAGGAAGAATTTGTCAAACAGGAAGAATGGCAAACATGAAGGTCCCTGGGTGGGATCATGACTGTGGGCAAAACTGGTTTCTGGAAGGAGCTAGGGAGATCATGAGTTTAATTTTTAGATATATTAAGATTGAGCTGTAATTCAATATTCAGACACAACCATTACATAGATGGTTGGACATTTGAATCTGGAGGTCAGAGAAGATATACATTGGGGATTTATCAGCATGTTGATGATATTTAAATCATGGTGCTTGATGGAATAGCTAAGGAAGTGTGTGTAGGTGAAGAAGAGGAGAGTCCAAGTACTGAACCCTCTGATGCTTGAACACTGACCGTTGGGTCAGAGTAAGGATAAAAAAAGACAACAAAAAACTGGCAGGGATTAAAAAGTAACCAAGGAGATAAGAGAAAACCAGTCCGTGTGTGGTGTACTGGAAGCCAGGTAGAGGAAGTGTTTCAAGGAGGAAGGAATGATTGATCAACTGGCCAATCCTGATGAAGGGACAAGAAGGTGGGAACCAAGACTCCACCAAGGAGAACATATTACATGCCTAAGCTGTATATTTGTATTTAAAGCGTTTCTGTGTTTGCGCCTTAGATTGCACTTTCGCTTCCCATCTCCACTACCGACATTCCTGTTCCATCTACCACAGTTTTGGATTTTCCCTGTAGCCACTTGATTCTCAGATATATCCTTCACATAGCAGTAAGGATGACCTTTATAAATAAATCACCCACTCCCCAATCTAAGGACTTTCTGTTGCTTGCCATTGCTTAAAAAAAAAAAAAGTACAATTAAGACTCTTTCTGATGTTCTCCAGGGTCTGAGGATCTGGCCTTACCTTCCTCTTTCATCTCGGCTCATCCCTTGCTTCTCTCTTGGGACTTTACAGGGAAACAGATCCCAGTGTTTCTCACCCCAGGGGGTTAATATTTGCTGCTTCCTTTGTCGGAAATATTCTTTCCTTAGCTTTTCAAATATTTGGTTCCTTGTCTTCTTTTATGTCTTAGCTTAGTTCTTACCTCCTTAGAGTGGCCTTTCACATCTAATGCAGGTTTGTCCATCAATTTATGTAATTTTTTTATATACTTGTTTCTTGTGTGTTGTCTGTCTGCCCCATTAGAATATAAGATCCCCGTGACTTTTGAATGATGCATCGGTTTTTCATTGTTCTATCTCTAGCAACCAGCCTGGTGGTTGGGACATAGCAAACATTCAATGAATATTTGGTATTGAAAGAATTCAAGGGCTATATTATTCCTGAATCTCAGTAATTGTTAATGTTATGTATGGGAAAGTGGACCTGGATCAATCAGTAAGTACACTACCTGTGGACATCTTTAAACAGACTATTAAAGAATCACAGATGTTAAGGACTGACATGGATGTTAGCAATTGAGCTTCTCACACAATTTAGGTAGTTATCGTTTTATGCAACAATTTTTACTGAGCACCTCCCATGTGCTAGGCACTGCCCTAGTAGTGAGTTATATAGTAGAGAACAAAATAGATGTGGGAACTTGTGCTCATGGAGCTATAGTCTAGAGAGGGGATAGGCTCTCACGGAGTCATTAAGTCAACACGGGAACAAGTGCTATGAAAGAAGGTACTGAGCACTTACATGCACCAGGCATTGTACTAGGTGCTAAGGATACAGGAGTGAACCAGACAAAAGTCCCTGCCCTCTTGGTGCTTATATTCTAGAGGAGGAAATAGATAATAAACATGCTATATAAGTATATCTTGTGGTGACCTAGAAAGTGAAAATGCCAGGAGAAAAGGAGTGGAAGGGAAGGAGTGGAATGGGAGACAGGAGACTGTCATTTTCAATGAGGTGGTCAAAGTAGATGACACTTGAAGAGAGGATTAAAAAGAACACAGCAGGGCATTTCAAATGATGGTGAGGATGAGGGCAGTGACATGGAGCTGAGAGTAGGATGCCTGGCAGCTGACCAGGCAAGCAGAGAGGATCAATAGAGGGAATGAGCATGTGGGAGGGTCTTGGCAGGAAAGAGCCAGGGACTTGGGAGGAATGGACAGAGCCCATTTAGCATAACTTCGGTGCGTTCGGTGGTATGAGATGAGATTAGAGGACTAGGTGGGGGCTTTGGAAGGTTTTAGAGGCCATTTATAGAGTTTTTTCCAAATCAGTGAGAAACCATTGGGTAGTTTTTGTCAAGGTATTAATCTTATGTGATTTTGTTTTAAAATATTATTTTGGTGATCTTGTTCAAATGCAGCAAGAATGACAATGTGGAGACCAGTTAGGAGTATGGGAGGTATAATTTGCATTTATAACATATTTGACAGATGATTATTTTTTAAAATCAAAATTTGTTTCCTTTTATAATGGTAGGACCTTCTATTAAGCATGAAAATTCCTAGTGTTTAAAATGTAGATTTTCACCATACTAGCAATGTCGTTAAATTTAGAATGTGATAAATTTTTAAAAGGTATGCTTTTGTTATAAACACACAAGATTTAAATATTCTGTTTATAGAGTTTTGATTTTCTATTTTAGAAAATTTGAAATATCCAGCAGCAACTATCAGTAATCCAAACTACATTAACATTCTTTTCTTAAATGATGTACATTATATAGTCTGTATTATATTTGCCTTGTTTAATCATTATGTAAGCCATTTGCGATGAGCAGTCTTGATGTTAGAATTCACTTGGAAAAAAAAAGAAAAAGTTCTCTTATTATATAACCCCAATTGATTTAACAAAGATGGTAATTTTTCTTTTATGAGTAACAAACTTAGTCATCATTATCTTACCCATAAGATTTGGAAAAATTAATTCTTTCATCTATATAACTTAAGAATTCTAGCAAGATGTGGTGAATTTTTTGGATTTAGTATATTTATTCTAATATTGTAGTATTTCATGAAGCATCAAATGAAACTGAAAAAGGTAAAACAAACAAAAAACCAAAAACTTATCTCTTTTTAAACTTCTGTGGGCTGTATTTGCCACAGTAGTTATTTGACATTGTTATTTAGTATTTGGTACATGTATATATTTTTCTACCACTAAATGTTATTACTCAGTCCATGAAGGCAGGACTACCCTATCCCCCCACTTCCCTTGTCACTCAATCAATATCATTTAATTACCTGAATGAATTAATTGACGTATTTCTCTTGAGGATGTTTTATTAATATACCAACATGTTCATTGTAAGTACTAGAACCATTTTCAGTCTTTAATTTTAGATTCCTGTCTGTATTAGTCAGTTTGGGCTGCCATACAAATACCATATACTGGGTATGTGGAACAACAGAGCTTTATTTTCTCATAGGTCTGGAGGCCAGATATCCCAGGTCAAGGTCCGACAGGGCCAGTTTCTGGTGAGAGCTCTCTTCCAGGCTTGTAGATACCCACTCTGTCATCATGTGGCCTTTCCTCTGAGGAAGCAGGGAAGGGAGACCAGGGTTAGGAGGATGGGGGGTGGGGAGAAGGAGGGAGGGAGCAAATACGAATGGAACCAGAGCAAGGTCAGGTGCTCTCTGGTATCTCCTCTTAGAAGGGCATTAATCCCAGTGGGGCAGGGCCTCACTCTTATGACCAAATTTAACTTTACTTTTTTACAGTCCCCCTTTCCAAATATAGTCACACTGGAGCTTAAGGCTTCAACATAGGGATGTTGTGGGAACACATGCATTCAATCTGTTACAGTGTCCTTACCTAGAAATTTATGAGATAGGATTGTACAATTGTAAGGAAAATTTGGATTTTTCCTAGAGGTAGTTATAATGTCTCAGAGAAAGGGAAGGAGTGAATGTTAACTAAATAAGTGAACAAAATAAGCGATGATCTGTTACCTTCTGAAACTCTGATTAGAAACCATGTTGAGAATACTGTATGCTTAGTTTTTGTTTTCCTTCATGGAATGAAGCATAACCCTAAATGGACTAACTGGCTATTTGAACCCTTGGGCCTTTTATATAAAAGAATAAAATAAGAACAAGGAATGCTTTTTCTCTTCATTCATTCATTCTTTCTTTCAACAAATATTTATCGTGTACCTACATATACTAGACATTCACTCTTCTTGGAGCTTGATAATGAATAATGTAGTCAAGGTCCTTGCTCTTAAGAAGTTTCTATCCAAGGGGACTGAAGGCCCAGTTGTGCATGCAGTAGCTAAGAGCATGGATGCACTAAGCCTCAGTTTTGTCAGCTGTGTGTTTGAGATATTAATGTTACTCATCTCAGGGTTGTGAAAATGAAATGAAAAACAAAAAGCATTGAAAAGTGAAATGAAATTTGGCAAAAGATGCAGAATAGCCAACATATGGAAAACAAAGTTGGAGGACTGACACTACCTGACTTCAAGACTTACTCTAAAGTTATAGTAATTGAGTGTGCTGTTGGTGAAAGAATGGACAAATAGATCAAAAGAATAGAACAGCGAGCCTAGAAAGAGCCACATAAATATAGTCGATTGATCTTTGAGAAAGGAGCAAAGGCAATACAATGGAGTAAAGACAGTCACTTCAACAACATATTGGAACAACTAGGGATCCACATGTAAAGAAATGAATCTAGACACATATCTTATACCTTTCCAAAAATTAACTCAAAATGAATCGCAAACCTAAAGCAGAACACAATGCTATTAAGCTCCTAGAAGATGAAATAGGAGAAATATAGATGACTGTGGGTCAATGCCTTTTTATATAACATCAAATACATGACCCATGAAGGAATTGATAAGCAGGACTTCATTAAAATGAAAAATTTCTGCTCTGCGAAAGTCACTGTCAAGAGAATGAAAGCCAAGCCCCAGTTTGGGAGAAAATATTTGCAAAAGACATAACTGATAAAGGACCATTATCCAAGCTATGCAAAGAACTCTTAATACCTAACAGTAAGAAAACAAACAACCTGATTAAAACAGTGGGCCAAGAGACACCTCACCAAAAAAGATATACAAGTGGCAAATAAACATATAAAAAGATGCTCCGCACCATGTATTGTCAGGAAGATGCACATTAAGATGACAACAATATATCACTACACATTTATTAGGGTGGCCAAAAGCAGGAACACTGAAAAGGCCAAATGCTGGTGAGGATGTGGAGTAACAGGGAACACTCATACAATGCTGGTAAGTATAACCACTTTGGAATAAACTTTGGTGGTTTTTACAAAACCAAACATACTTTGGGAAATTGTTCTCTTTGGTATTTGCCCAAAGGAGTTGAAAACTTATGTTCATATGTAAGTCTGTGCATGGATATTCATAGCAGCTTTATTCAAATGGACAACACTTGGAAGCATGTAAGGTGTCTGTCATTAAGTGAAAAGATAAATAAACTGTGGTATAGCCAGGTAGTGGAAATATTATTCAGTACTAAAAGGAAAAGTGCTACCAAGCCATGAAAAAACACGGGGGAAACTTAATGCATATTACTTAGTAGAAGAAGCCATTCTGAAAAGGCTATATACTATATGATTTCAACTATATGGCATTTTGAAAAAGGTGAAACTATGGCGAGAATAAAAAGATAAGTGGTTGTCTGGGGTTGGCAGAAAGGAGGGAGGGATGAATGTGCAGAGAACAGAGGATTTTTAGGGCAATGAACAGTAATGCCATTATACATTTGTCCAGACCCATAGAATGTAGAACACCAAGAATAAACCCTCATGCAAACTATGGACACTGGGTTATATTGATGTGTCAATATAGGTTCATCAATAGTAACTATTGTATTATTCTGGTGGGGGATGTGGGTAACGGGGGAGGCTGTGCCTATGTGTAGGCCAGAGATATATAGGGAACCTCTGTACCTTATGCTGAATTTTTCTGTGAACCTTAAACTGCTCTAGAAAAGTCTGTTTTAAAAAATGTATGTAAACAGCTTTGACTAGTGTTTGACAAAAGAAGCAATAATTTTAACTATAGCTATAATTTATTAACAATTAGACATCAACAAAAGGGCGTATTGGAAAGAGCACAAAATAATACTTAACTGGCAGGGGAGATACCATGATCACGAAAGAGCACAAAATAAGTTTCTAAGGATTTCTTGCTAATTAATTGACTTTCCTACTGAGTTTGAAGATATTTTATGATTTTTACAGTGCCACCTCTTTGTTTAATATCTGGACTAAATATGCACCCCGGCTTCCAGCTGCCTATTACAATGAAAAGCTCCTGAAGGTGGGAGATAGCCTCTGCGAAATGAAAGTAAGTGCCTCTGGAGTACAAGAGCCTCAGTGAAACTCACTTGGCTACTTATATTATTATTTGGTTTGATGCCATTCCTATTTTTACATGATTTGATTTTTTTAGGAAAAAAAATAAATGCACAGAATTTTAATGGGCACAGCAACCAAAAAAGTATTTGGTTTTTAATTTTGCAGTTGAGATGTTCCGGAGGTGAGAGATTCCTGAACAGAGAGACAGCTGGCCACAGCCCCTAGTTAACAGAGGGTGTGGTAGGCGCCCAACAGGAAATGCTGAGTCATCATGTTCCTACCTTAACACAAAGGAGCCCAGACACCACTTCCTGTTGTTTTTCACATTGTTGGCCTTGCCCAGAGAACAACTCTCATGGCCACTGGCCTTGTTGCTGTGTTGCCTGCTTCCCTGTGCCCTTTTGAATGACTTTCAACTCCTTAATATTTTGCTGAATGTAAACATAGCAGTCATTTCATACCTGCCCTGTTTCTTACCCATTATTTTATTCCAAACTGAGTGTGCCACTATTTCTGGTTCATATCAATACTCTGGTCTTGGATTGCCATGGACTCTTGGACTTGTTAAGACCACATACCCATCACAGCTGAATTATCAGTTAATGATAATGTAAGTTTTTCCCTTAAGCTCTGGCATAGGCCCAAATTACTCCAAGGTAAATATGAGTGTTTGGCGCATGTAGGATCATTGAACCAAGAGATATTTTATTCCAAGTGGTGGTAGGCCAGATGTGGGCCATATTTAGTGTCTTCTCAGTCTTCAGTTTCTCAGCGTCATTCTCTTCCTCCATTTCTGTTTTCTGAACTCGCATCCTTTTGGTTTGGGAGGAAAGGTTACCAAGGAGAGGATAAGCTATGAAGGAACTGTCATAATAAAGAACTAAGATCTATTTCCTGCTGCCAAAATTAGAGAATCCTTAGCTCCATATAATTGGACTTTGGTTCTTAGAAACTTGAAAATACAGAGTTTGAAAACTACAGGGAAAAAAAAAACTAGGTGAGGTCCAATTTATAAGCTATATTTATGTGCAGTGGAATAACAGCTTTGGCAAGAATTAGGAGTGTGCCCTCTTCATTTTCATGCTTCTCCTTAATATAAGAAGCTGGTGATAACAGAGCAGTTTCAGGTTAAGGAGTAAGCAGGTGGGTGGAATGAATACTGGGGGAAGGAGGAGGAAGGAACATGTTAGAAGGTGATAAAGCAAGTGACTAAGGATTGAGAATATTTCAGATAGAAAGGCCCAGATAGAATACTTGAAAATTTGCTTAAAGGAACAAAGAGAATGTTTTAAATACTTTCCACTGATGGGAAAGTAGATTGAAAAAGGTATTTATAATCCTGAAAATGAACTTTATCTGTTACTTTGGTTCTAGAATATCTTTATTTTTATATTAGTTACAGTAAAGATCATTTTGTTGGAGTACTGTTGTTTTGAACCGAGATTTGAATTCATTATATGAATCAAGTTAGAACAGAAAAGAATCAGAATTAATTAGTGAACAGTAACAAACAAGTCAATAGAAATAGAAACATAACAACATTTGAAGGTGGATGCCTCCCAAGGGGCTAGGTAACCCGAAAGGCAGTTCACACCCATGGCAGTTGCTTTTTCTGGAGACAGTTAGAGGAGGAAGCTGAGTAAGGGTTACAACAGACACATATTTCAGAGTCCTACTCACATCCACCTCCCTGAAACTCTCCAGATCAGCTGTGCCCTGTGGGCTACAGAAATGAGGCATTTGCCTTTGTAATGGGAATATAAGCACGAATTAGAATGAACAGAATCCTAAGTAACAATAGCTTAGACTTTTTCTGCTTGCTCTGATGCAGCTTCACAGGCTGTTGACAGATGAAAGAGATTGAGCCAGCTCATCATCTGCGGTTTTTCTCTCCTTGCTCTGCTTCCCCTCCCTGCCCCTTCTTCTCCTTGTCCCTCCTGCTCTTTCCCCACTTCCCTTCCTTCCCATTCTCTCTTTCTTTCTTCTTTGTTTCCCCCCCTTCCCTTTCTCCCTCTTTCTCCAGTCCTCCCCTCCCCCTTTTTTCTTTTTCTCTCTTTCCTCTTCCCTCCCTCCCTTCCTTTCTTCCTCTTTCTCCTTCCCTCTTTTTCTCCCCCGTCTTCCTCCTCCCCATCTCTTCATTTCCTTCTCCCTCCCCTGCTTTTTTTTGGAGCTTAAGAACTATCAGAGAAGCAAGGCTAGTTACACAACTCATCTGCCTCTCTGACTTAGTGGATGGGTTACCATCATGGCGGTGTTGAATTTTTGGGGTCTTCTCAGCTTTGAGATTGTGATGGTCTTATCTCACAATAGGTTTGTTGTGAGGAGAATTAAGTGAAATAACACACATGAATTGCCTAGCACAGTGTCTATCACAAAATAGGTGTTTGGAAATGGTAGTGATAATGGTAGTAATAATGTAAATGGTGGCAGTAATAATAGTAAATTGAGATTGATATAATTAAAAATGATATAAATAGTACCTAATTTTAACAGTGATGTAATTTAATAATTACTTAATATAATTTAATGGTTATTAAAAATTTATTAAGAAAATTATATTTTGAAGTTTTCATCAAGTGCTCTTTTTATTTCAGGAATATAAATTGGCCCTTTTACAGTGCTATGGAAGATATCTTCAGCAGTTCAGTATCAGCTTTGATGAGAATAAAGCAGATGTGCATCAATTCAAAACTGTCTTTTTTCCAAAAGGCTTTGGAGACAAAAATGCTGCACAGACAGTAAGATGAAAGCAGCCAAAATAGCTACAGTTTATGATTAGCTATACAAAATATCCTTTTGTTGACAGTTTCTAAATGTCTTTCCTTTGCTCAGCATAGCATTTACTTGTGTACTATAAGTTGCTTAATAAATGTTTTCAATGCTGGATAAGAAAGTGCACTTATTAAACTTTGTAAAGATGCTTTGGAGATTGTATCACTATAATCACTCATTCATCCAGCAGACAGTTATCATTATAAGAACTAATATTTCTAGAGCGCTTTTAGTTTACAAAGTGCTTTGAAAACGTCTTTGATCCTCACAATAATTTTGTGAGTTAGACACTATTATTATTTTTATTTTACAAAAGAGAAAAAGAAAGTTAATCACACAGTATACCTGCTGGCTGTGGAGATTAACATAGATCTTCTGATATGAAATTTTATGCTTTATTTCTGGTATACTATTATTATATCATTTGCTACCATTGATTTGCTGATTGAACAGCTACCATAAAAATGCTAGGCTCTTTTATATGCAGTATGTGAATTGTCATCTTACAGCTTCTTTATAGTCTTAAAAGATGAGGAAACTGAGGCTTATTAGAGACTAAGAAACAAGCCCACTTAAAGCAGTGGATAGAGTTGGTGTTTGAACCTTAATTAGTCTGACTCCAAAGTTATGTTATTCCAAACTTGATTGTTCAAGGCCTTGGAAACATATGTGGTTTAATAAACAAAATCACAAAGCATGTTTTGGGGCACAATGAGCGTTCAATTTTGGCTGTGTCATAGGTGCATGAATGGGAATACTGGGCAATAGGTGCATGTGAGTCGACGCCCCATTGGGGAGAGTGCTGAATGAAAAGCTTAGGAGTTTGGACTTTGAAAGCCCTTCCTATCTCGCCCTGGTCCAGGCCCCCATCTCTCTTGCACGATTGCATTATCCTGTGTCCACCTGGCCTCCCTGGCTGAGCACCAGCGCCCTGGTGAGCTCCGCTGTCCACAAAGCTTATACCTTAGATATCTGTGTGGTTCACCCCTTACTTCCTTCAGGTCTCCTGCACTCTCTGCTTTATTTTTCTTTATATCACTTACTGTCACTGACTGTTTTCATTTCTATTTATTTCTGGCCTCCTATTCTAGAATGTGAGCTTCATGAGGACAGGGACTGCTCTAACCTAACTCTTGTGCCCAGAATAGTGCCTGCCATGTAATGGATCCTCAGGAAAACTTTATTGAGTGGATGAATAAATGAAGTGATGCGGTCAGAATTATAAACCCCGAAGCAGTACACAGAAGAGACTATAGGGAAAAAGGCTGGAGGCAGAAGGTAGAGCAATGAAGACAACATAATAGTATGCCAGCAGGGCTATTGTGACGGGTGCAAATAGATATGAAGGATTTGGTGTTTTACATGCTGAATTTGAGGTCCTGGCATAACACTAGCACCATATTTATTTTCAATAAATATGTATAAAATGAGTAAGATGGAAAATTTAGTCCACTAGGAATTTAACAGTACAGAACTAGAGGTCTTGAGAAGTGTTGTTAGAGAAATAGATCTTGGATTTAAAGGCATAAAGATCATAAATGAAGCAGTAATACTAAACAATTTACTGTCAAAATATTAACAGCAAAGTTTTGTGCAAACAAACTTAATCATGTTACTTAATGATAAATACATATATTGGTATGTACTATAGGGAGGCATATGGCAGAGCTGGTAGGAGTTGCCTCTAGAGCCACCCTGCCTGGGTTCAAAGAGCTGCTGAGCCACTGCCTGACAATGGGATCTTGGAGAAGGTTTTGTAATTTCTTTGTGCCTAGGTTTCCTCACCTGTAAAACAGAAGTGACAATAAGACTCATCTCCTAGTGTTGTTTTGAGATGAGTGAGATAACAAAAGACTTAGACTAGGTAGGGCCTGACACTCAAAAAATGTAAGTATCATTATCAGTTTCTAAAAGAAAGAGTACTTAGAAGATAATGATTATTCCAACATGTATGTATGTTCAACAAATTTCTTTTGTGATGCCAACTACATGGTGGCTAGAAATAGTGTACATGTGTCCAAGCAGGAAATCTATGTGGAAGATAAGGTCCATTTGTATTACTAACGGTGTCCACTCCCATAGCTTTAACAGTACTCATCATTACTCTAGCCAAAATCTTTCTTTTGAACTCCACATCTACCCAGTTAGGTCATAAACATCTCAACATGACATAGCCCAAAGTGAACTCATCATCTTTCCTCCATAATTGGCTCCAGCCAGTCACCCAAGCAGAGAATCGTTGCAGGCCACTTCCTCTCTCTTATCTCCCACATCTAATTGGCCACTAAATCCCAGGGACTCAGGAAGGACTTAAATCTTTCCTTTCTCTTCATCCCCGATTCCAGGGCCCCATTCCAGGGCCCGGGTATGTCTGGACTACCTCAGAGGCTTCTGATCTCTCCCAGACTCCCTGTATGTAACTTTGTGCCCTATCCTCTGCTTTTTGTCTTCCACACTTTTGTCATTAATTTCTGAAGTGTAAATCAAGCCATTTTACTCCTCCGCCCTTTAACTTTGTCCTTTGGCTAATGTCCATATTCCTTGGAATGACATGGACCACTCTTCCGGTTCTGACCTTGAATCACCTGTCTTTCTCTTAAACTTTCTTATTCAACCATATGAAAGACGTTCAGTCCAGTGACCACAGCAACTACTGAGCATTCTTAATGTTGCTTGTGCCTGGAATTCTTTCCATCTGCTGAGAGCGAGGGCCATGTCTTCCTCAACTGTGAGTCCCTATTGCATAGCAGAGTGTGGCAAATAGATGTGCTCAATAAACATTTGCCAAATGAATTATGTAAATGGTGATTAATTATATCTGAATTAATAAGTTAAAATGCCATTTTGTGAGTTTCCAAAAATTGATTCAATTCCATATTCTTGGAAACAGGATTTCTTACTTTTGGAGGGCTTTTGAAAATTTTTGATTAAGGAAAAAATAACCTTAATCAAATGGGTGCTTTGAAAAAACCTATTTTACCACATTTCTATGTCTTAATCCATTAGGGCTGTTATAACAAAAGTTCATAGACTGATGGCTCGAACAACAAACATTTATTTCTCATTTTCTGGAGGCAGGGATATGTCAGATCAAGGTGCTGGAATATTTGGTGTCTGGTGAGAGCCTCCTTTCTCGTTCATAGATGACTGTCTTCTTCCTGTGTCCTCCAGTGGGAAGGCATGGGAGGCGGGCTCTCTGGGGTCTCTTTTAAAAGGACACTAATCCCATTCATGAGGGTTCTACTCTCATGACCTAATTACCTAATTACCTAATTACAATTAGGTCATGACCGTGACCTCATTACCAAAGATCCCACCTCCTAATACCATCACACTGGGGATAGGCTTCAACATAAAATTTGGAGAGACACAAATATTCAGTTTGTAGCACTATACTAATCTATTAAATTCACTAAGCCCAATTGTTTCCATTTGAGCTTTTTACATTTTAAGGAAAGCTTTTCTAAGTTGCATAAACTTTTTTCATATTTATATTTCATATTCATTTTATATTTTCCCGTGTTTCAGTTTCATGCTTTAAATGGCAAAAATATTTGCAACTACGAGTTGGTCTGTGACAGTGACATGAACCTGCAGAATAAAGAATCTGTGATCCAGTGTCTGGATATCTTGTCCTCCCTGAGACTCATCATGCAGGTGGCATTGCCACAGGAGCACCTTTGCTGGATTATCTTCAACGGTATATACCAATGTATTTTAGTTTCCACGGTGTCTCTCGGAAAGTTATTTAAATGCCACGTTTCATGTTAATTTGATTACCTGGGGATTTAAAACATTTATTTCATAATAGGATGATTGTGTTTTTTATACTTTTATTACGTTTTAATTTGTTCTCATAAGCAGGAAGTTACAAAGCACGTCTTTGGGTTTTCTGTGCAAGGAAGGGTTAGAGGCTGTGGGGATAATCAGTTTCAGGTATATAGAAAGCAGGGCCCATAATTAATGAGTAAGTATAAGTGGAGAAGAATCAAAGAACCACTGCAGGTTAGATTGGTTTTAAGCATCATCCATTTATTGGTCCTCTCCTCAAATACTTCGGCCAATGACTGTGGCTTTCTATACATCAACCTTCTCCTCCTATGTGGTTTTGAGTAAGGAGCTTTTGTGTGTGTACAGGATGATTATATACATATATACATTGTATAGATATACATATATACTTGCAGGGTGGTGCAAAAGTAGGTTTACAGTTGTCCATATGGAAAATAAAACAATAATAAATAATAATGCAAGAGCAAACTCCGTGTTTCATGTATTTACGTGTTTATAGTTACATAACTGTAAAACTGCTTTTGCCCCAGTCAGTATAGGCATTATATATATATCTCTCATAGAATATTATCTATCAAAATCCAGCATTTGTTTTCCTCTTTAAAGAGTTACAATTTAAATTCAATTTCTTTTCAAAGTTACAATTAAAAGTTACAATGAGTCATTTGCTATTGTTCTCTGGATAATATAGTCTCAAAAGGAAAATAATGACAGTGTGTTCTGTGTGCATAAGAGCAGGACAAAATAACTTGAAAGAAAACATACTGGATTTTAGCTCATCTATGACAATCAAAATATATTTCCTAGCCTTTTCCTTCCTCACTCTTCCCAAGTAATTTTTTTTTTGACAATTTGATTGAAAATTCCATTTGCTGCCAGAGATGAGGCTGACTTGGGAAGAAATTGTTTAATGTAGTGATTGTCAATTTAATGCTTGATCATCCCCGACAGGACCTGTGTTTCCCAGAGCAGCCGCTGCCATCTTGCCACCTGGGCTGGTCAAGCCTCTTGGCAGGGACTGAGCAGCAGCAGAGGTTCTGTGCTCAAGAAGCAGCGGTAGCCCACAGGTGGGCCTTGCGGTCGGGCCTTGCGTGATGGTGAAGTGACGCAGCACGGCCCCCTCACTGGTCTTCTTTTAACATCACACACAAATATCCCAGTGTTCTTAGAAACAAAGATTAAATGATTTCTGTGTCTTCTCCATCCTTTTCTTGGTGTGGGCTTTTTCTTTATATGGGTGGTATTTTGGTCTACATTTTATTCTTTTTCCTAAATAGTTTTCTGTTCAATATTATGTTTTTAGAATCTAGCCAGTTTCCCGTGTGTAAACCTGGTTTGTTAACTCTGACTGTTGACTTGTGTTCTATAGATATTTGTACATCCCTAGGTATGGAACATGGTTTGCCCTGCCTCTATAACTATGCAAATAATTCTTCAATGAATATCCTCACACGTGTACTTTTATAGACCTGTTTGAGAATATCTGGGATCTATGCCTAGGAGTGGGATTGCTGGGTTGTGGGAAATATACATAATTTTACTAACTCCTGTCCCTGTTTTTATTCATCCAAAACTTATTGCCAGGCATTGTTCTAGGTGCTAGAAACAAAAGAGTGGGCAACAGATGAAAAGCCTTTCTCATAGTTACATTCTGCTACAGAGAGGTAGATCATAAATCAAAACTAAATGGTTGTGGCAGATTGTGCAACAGAGAAAAATAAAGCCAAGGCGGGGATAGAGAGACCCAGGCCTGGCCTGGGTGGGGATTCACTGACCACTCTATTTAATCAGTGAGTGGTAATCAGTGAAATGACATTTGAGCAAAGACCTGCATGAAACATCTGAATATTTGAGGAAAGGGCATTCCAACTGGAGGACTAGCAAATGAAGAGATGCTTTAGTTTTAAAACTTTGTATTTTAAGTAGTCAGAAATAAATCGGCCCTGACTAGTATGGCTGAGTTATTTGGGCATTGTCCTACAAAGCAAGAAGTCACTGGCTTGACTTCCTGTCAGGATACATGCCTGAGTGGTGGGTTCAGTCCCTAGTCTGGGTGCATACGAGAGGCAGCCAATCACTGTATCTCTCGCACACTGATGTTTCTCTCCCTCTCTTTCTCCCTCCCTTCCCCCTCTCTAAAAATAAGTAAATACATACATACATATATACATAAATACATAAATAAATAAAATCTTAAAAAAATAAATTGATACAGTTAATTTATCAAAGTACATTTAGTCTTTCCAGTTAGAAACGAAAACTCCCTCTCTTTACTTTTAATTGATTATTATATATAGACATCCTTGTTTTTATAAAATATGTAACCAATCTTGGTTCTTTCATAAAACCTAACTGAGTGTACGAATATTCCCTAACCCCTTATTTTGCAATTAACCTGAACCCAACTAATTTACCCCCTCAAATATAGATTATTTCAGTGATGGCCATCTTTGATGAAAAGGAGTCCCATGACAAGGCAAAAAACTTACATTAGAGATTTGGTCAAAAACAAAAGAAACTTCCAGAGATATCCTGAGGTCGTAAAGATTCAGTCTATGTTCCATTCTATACCAGTACTCTCCCAGTCATACTTCTGCAGTGGGAATGCGTAAGCCATGCCAAGATCCTGAACCATCAAAGAAGGGCTGTTATAGTCAGGACACACTAGGGCTGGAAAGGTTAAAGCCACATTTTTGAAATACAGAGGGCCCTTGTCATTCTTGAGGGCAGTCTCCTGAGGCCTCCTGAAATTCCCCAGTTCCTGTTACTGACATGTTTATACAGGCTCCTGGCTTACACCTGAATCACATGGTTTGTGGAGAGGCATGCCTTTCCTGTGTGTATCCTTACTTGGTGACTTAAAAAAAAAAAAACACAAAGAAACACAGTTATACAGTTTAGTTTTTAAAGATTAAAAAGAGAGGTCAGCAAAATCAAGTTGAGAGAAGAATGCTGGGCTTCAGCTGTTACGAGCCAAACTGTTTCTTCCCCGGTGGATCTTATGTGACCGGAATGGCTTCCTGTCATGGGAGCGGTCACAGTAATGCTGAGTCCCCGAATGTTAAGGGCCTGTTGTAGTCCCTGTGAAGTGTGTGGTGCTATACATTTTTAAAGATTTTATTCAATATTTTTGCCACTGATTTATGTAATTAATATTTATTTTAATACAAGTGTATTTTAATCAAATAATGTGTGTCTTGCAGCAGATGCTGTTTACTCAGAAGCTTTTGAAGTTTAAATGTGAACATAGGACTCATAATTGTGGAATTTTGATGGTTGTGAGTTTTAGATCAGACATTTTATAGGAAATATTTAGATTACTTGCATTATAATTACATGCCTTTTTAAAGCATGTTACCGTCTTTTGGATATGTTTATATCATGATAATGTCCTTTGTATATGGAAAGATATATGCTGATGTTGTTCCCTCTTCCCCCAATCCAGTCCCCAGCCTTCTAGCATTGTTTAATTAATGGCCTGACCCCCCCAAAAAATCATACTTCAATGATATTAAATAGGACCTTAAAATGCTATTTTCTTATTAGAGTGCTCATAGGACATACCTTAATAACAGGATAAATATTATGAAACTGCGAATTAATATAATGCAACCTATTATGTGTTACGATTTTTACATTATTATGAATTTCCATGCAGAGTATTATGCCATGCTGATTAAGTGTGGATTGTAATCTTATTTAGAAATAAATCTTTAGTTTTTTAACCATAAGGAAAGCATGGGAAACAATAACATTTTATATGAATTACTAAAACCACAGGGTATGTAAATTATGCTACTAAAAATATTCTTTTGTTCAATATATTTCAGAAATTAAATATGTTGAGACTGAAAGATTCTCATGTCAACCTATTTAACATATGGTCATATTAATTTTTAATGATTTGGTTACTAAATATTAATAAATTATAATGATTATAACTCTAATCATTGTCAGAGTATCTATCTCATGGGATTGCTTATTTTGAGAACTATAGACTTCAACCATAGCAACTGGAATATAAAATTTTCATCATTTGACTGTAAAACATGTTAATGATCTTTTTCTTCATCTAGGTACCATCTATATTTACACCATTTGCAGAAAACTGATGATTATAGGTCAGTCTTCCAAGGTATGAAATTTACTGACAAAATATCTTCCCTGTATATCCTATTTTTCTTAAGACTTTTGTTGGCATTGAATGCTAAACAAAGAAAATTTAGTGAATTATTTAACAAAATTTAGTGAATATAATAGGTTTACTATTTTTAGTTTACTCTAGTATGACTATATGTAAAATTGCAGACAAAAAAGTATTAGTGAAAGGAGAGCATCCTTAAAATTGACAGGTATTCTTCACTGTCTGTTGGTCTCTCAGATTAGTCATAACTTGTCAGCTTAATACTGAACATCCATCCATCTGGTAGCTATATCTCTAGGTAGGCTGACCATCCATTCTGGCTTGCCCAGGACAGTCCTGGTTTATATGTTGTGCTGGAGTAATTATTAATAGTGCCCACTTTAACTTTTAAAAGTGTTTTGATTTGAGAGATAAACGATGGTTACCCTATTTAGGTCATACTCAGGAGCTTGAACTTTATTTTTCTTGCAGAGGTTGGATTTGACTTACGACCCACATGCTAGTGAGTGAATGAATGAATGCATGAATGTTAGTGTTCATTAGGGTGAGAGAACACCTAAACTCTGTTCCAGTCATGACCTGAGGGTAAGGAGACTTTATTTTATAATAAGGTTCCTACTCACCAGTATTCACTGCTAGGTTTTAGCTTGAGGCTTTGATTGACTTCTGTTGACTTCCCTACAATGCTGGTAGCACTTTTGTCCCTGGGAGACCCAGTTATTCCCTGTATGCGTTGTATAGTCATTGGAATGTAAGCCAAGAAGAGAGAAGATACTCCCATTGAGACCATACTCAAATTGTTACTGGCATCTGGAACATTACTGCTCTATTCTTTTTAATGCTTATTCTTTATCACAGGTTTTTTTCTTACTTTTCTCAAAACATAGCCAAGTATCTTAAAAGTTGACGACACTTAAAAATGGAAGAAAGATATTTGCATGCTTAATGGATAGCAATTTTATGTTCTCTCTCTGTTTTGTTCCTTGAATTTAAAAGCTCTATTACTGGCAGTGACTCGAATGAGACCGTTCCAGGTCTTTGAGTGTGAATTAAAATGAGGGGAGACTGTCCCATGTATAATGGAAGTTTGGCCTACAGACTATTCTAGTGATTCTACCTTCAGGTCCAGACAATTTCCTAGAAAGAACTTGCATACTCCTGTTGCCCTTGCTGTAGCAGCAAATACTGCTTCGCAGAACTACCACAATCTGGCCTGCTGCAGCAGCTGTGTGCCAAGCTTCGACAGGCAGAGATGTCTGTGCCCAAATTTAACCATTCATGTTTGTGCTTGTTAATGCTGAGAGAATTTTAACAGGATAGTCATTTAAAATAATTTCTTACTTATACCCTACATAAGACATGTCCTCTCCTCCTCATAGAACTTGAATTTCTCTCTGACAAAATAAGGGCTGAAGAAGAATAGCTTTATGGTCCCAGTCTTGCGGGACGGAGTGAGGGGAGTGTGCGGTGCAAGGATTTTGGAGTGGTGGGTGGTTGTACAGCTGGCATTCGAAGACTGGGATGAAATTCTTTGTCTTTTTTTTTTCGATATAGTAAGTTACAAAAAAATTAGTACTTTTCAGCCAGGAATTTCTAAACCTTTAGCTGGTGAGTTGATTCCTTGGAGGGAGGTGGTCCAACCACATCTGTGTCTTCTTGGATCTGAATGGCCCTGAATCTGTAGCTACTTTAGGGTTCACACTTATTATAGCACGACACAGAAGGAGAAATAGGTACGAGATCCTCCGGTGCTTCTTGGTGTCACCCCAAAGAAATAGAAACCTGTTACTATGAGATACAGGCATTATTGCTGCCATTTGTTACTATTATTGAATCCCTACTATGTGTTAGGTATTGTGTGAAGGGCCTTGCATACATTGAACACTCATTCTAGTCTTAGGAGGTGGACACTATCATTGCCATCATCATCACTGTCATCACTTGTTGAATGAATGCCTACCACTTATCAGGTAGACGTCTAAGCGCTTTTATAGATTATCTCACTTAGTCCTCACACCGACACTTTGAGAAAGTTGCCGTTATTGCTTTCGTCTTATATAGATGAAGGAGATCAGGCTCAGAAAGGTTGATTAGCTCAGTGTCAAACATCTGATGAGAAGTGTAGCTGAGGCCAGAGCCAATGCCATGCTATCTTGCCTATCAACAGCATGAGAACAACGCACGTTTGTTGACTAAATTTAATCCTGTCATCATGCATCCTATTTCTGCTCCCTTAGTCAAGTGGAGGTGCCGTGGGGTGGGGTTAATGTTTTTTGACATCACTCTGTATTCCTGAAGACATCCTGAAGACCTAGCCTGGCCGGGGGCTACTCCCCAGATGAGAAACAGCACTTGTGTTCAGGGAGGTCACCAGCATAAGCTCGGGGAATGGAGGGAGGGCAGATTTCTGAAATCTCTTTTCCTAAAGACATATTACAACTTTGCTGTCATTTATGGTGTAATCTGTAGTTTCTGAGGCATTTAGAACTGTAATAAAATACTCAGCAAACATTAAAATATACAGTAGAGTCTATTCATTCTAAAAAATGTTGATGTCAGTTTCATTTGTAAAGTTTGTGGCTTGAACAATGATTGTGAAATTATTCCACATTCCATTACATAAACTTCAAATCCAAACTTTGAATTGCTTCTCAGTGCTGCTGCCCTCAAAGGCTGATATCAATGATGCTGCAGTGCCATCATGTGGGTGAATTGATTAATTGTGTGTGTACTACATGAACCATGCTCTTGCTGGCCTCCTATACTTTGGTTTTTCTTCTTTTTCTTCCGTTTCCTCTTCCTCTTCTTCTTCCCCTTTCCCTCCCCCCCTGCTCCTGTGCCTCCCCTTCCCTCCTCTTTTTCTTTCTTCTTCTTCCTTCTTCTTCCTTCTTTTTTAAATGAAGAGTTAGTATAGCAAATGATTTATTTTATTTTTTATGTTTTTGATATCTTAAAACCTTTAATAGAAGAACATTGCCCCCAAAACTCTTCCACCGACAGTGATTTGACCCATGCTTTTACCAATATGACATTAACAATCTCTTCAGCTTATGCCAGTCTGATGGATTAAAAACAAGTGGGATTTCCTTGTTCCAATTTGAATTTTCCTGCTTGTGATACAAGCACTTATAGCAGTTTTTAGCTCGGCCGGTGTGGCTCAGTTGGTTGGCGCATCATTCTGTAAACTGAAAGGTTGTGGGTTCGATTCCTGGTCAGGACACATGCAGATTTGGAGGCAACTGATTGACGTTTTCTCTCCCATTGATATTTCTCTCCCTCTCTCTCTCCTTCCTTTCCCCGCTCTCTAAAATGAATAAGCATGTCAAGGGTGAAGATTAAAAACAGTTTTTGATTTCCTTTTAAATTTTATTTATTTTTAAATTTAAATTTGGTTTTCAGTGTTTGCTTTTTCTATGAAGAGAACAGTTCTGCTTAACTCCCATCAATTAAAAAATTAATAGAAATAGTTTTATCTTTTAGAGGCAAAAAAAAATTAAGAAGTAGTTTTTTGGAAATCGCTTTTCATTTTAAAAATCTGAATAATGGTTTTCCAGAACCCTAAGAGGAATGATGTTTTTTCACATCCCTAAGTGAAATGATGGCTTTTTGTTGTTGATTTTTAAAAGAACTCCCCTTTGTCAAGTTGTCCCTATGTACTGGAAAGAATACTTCTGTACTCGGGAGGCCGAAAACCTGGGTTCCAGCTCCAGCTGAGTCGCACCAGTTCATTCCCGTGGAGTCAGATTAAGTTACTTTTAAGGTCCCTTATGGCACTAACACCTGTGATTTAGGGTCTCTTATGCTAAGGCTGAGGCCAAACCCAGAAATAACATGAACAACTGGTAACCAAAGCCATTTTAATTTTGAAATGTGAAATTTCTAGTACCTGGAATCCTGAGGTCTTTTTGAAAGACATGTTCACTTAAAGGGGGGAAATTTATACCTGGCTTAATCCAACAAACCAACAAACAAACAAATACAACAAACCAAATACAACAAACCAAATGCAAAAATCCACAATAGGGTTTTTGTACAGCAGATGTGAGAAAGCTCAAGTTTTGATAACTGTTAATTCCCTATCACTGTGGCAAGGTTAGCAAACAATAACAACAGGACAACAGCAACAAAAACTACAACAACAAAAACTGCAATAAGCAACCCCATGTCAACTAAGTAGAGGTGTAGTGTCCAGGACCAGGGACTGGAAGTGTCATTTTACTGTGGTCTAGTCATACAAAGGACATTTGCAACCTGGAGCAAAGCCATAGAAGATTAACCATGAGGGTGAGGGAAGTGCAGCTCTGGGAGATAGGGAAGCACTCAAGGGTCTCTCTCTGGGAGACAGAACTGGGGGGAGGGGAGGAGGACAGATGGCGTAGGTGCTTTCAGAGTCTTGGAGGGCCGTAATCTGAAAGTGAGTTTTGAATGGTTTTGTGCTGTTCCAGAAGGCATAGCTAGGATTAATACATTGGAGGCATATCAAAATGGATTTCATTTCAGGTTAAGCAAGTACTTTGCATGTCCACAGATGCCACCTGGAGGTGGGAACTCTTGAGCAGTGAAGGTGTGGGACATCAGGTGGTGGTGCTGGCGACGTTGACAGTGGTAAATTTAGGTCGACTTTAGCCCTTTGATTTTATGATTACTCAAAATGGTTCCATGTTAGGCATCATGAACCGAAACTTAAATGAAGGTCAGTCGGTCAGCAAATAATTATTGCATATCTACTACATGCCAGATAAAGTCCTAATGGCTGGGGGTACAGTGGTGAAAAGATAGACAAGATCCATTTTCTAAGTGAACTTATATTCTAGTGGGATGGGCTTACCTTCCAGTGGATAGCCAAGAATGTCACAATGCTGTGTCAAGCCCTGCTCTACTTCTGGAATCAAAACTGACCAGACTGTGGAGAATTTGGCCCTTTCAGACTTCTTTCTCAATATGCTGAGTTGCTTGCGAATGGAGTATATACATTGTCTTTGGAGACTCCAAAGATGGTAATGGGGTCTGAATCTATTTTTACTATTAAATACTATGTCAATATGGTAGGTTTTCTGAATGTACAGCTCCTGGACCTTTCTAATGACTTGCCTTTTCAAGATGGGTCTGACTACTATACATGTACTTTTCTTTAATTAATTCCTCAAGTACTGAAGGTGGAATTTGTTACTGGAAGGGGGGCTTTATTCTGTAGTCCAAGTTTATTCTCATCATTTTCTTGAGAATCTAGAATATCTGTGAGCCCTTTCTTGGTCGGGTCTGCTGAATTCAGGGTTGTTCAATGAATTCATTTAGTAGCTACTTGGGAATATTTGCGAGGTACTATTCTAGGTGCTGGAGATATAATAAGGAATAATGCATTATCCGTATTTTCCAAGACATCACAATCTGGAATCACACACATGAGCATATGAATGCTATTCAATGTGACATATGACATGTGTATATAAAATATATGTAAATCATACACGCACACAACACAATTACAGTAGAGACAGAAAGGAGGCCATGTTCATTTCTGTCTAGTGACATCAGAAAAGTCTTAACAATTGGTTCTCTTCCCTCTTGCTCTTTTTCTTCCTTCTCCTTCTTCTCCTCCTGTTCCTCTACCTTGTTCTGCTTCCCCTTTCTCTTTCTTTGTCTACATTGCTATTACCAAAGCTAACACTATGTTTTCTATGTTCTAAGAATTTAGTGTATATTAACTTATTTGGTCTTTAGACAATCTTAATTACTCTTATACCTATATGGATGAGGAACTGGAGGCACATGGAATGTAAAAATTGTCCGAGGTAACCCTGCTACTATAGTGTTTCAGCCAAATAGGGCAGGTAAAGGAGAGAAGAGAGTGAATAAAGACACACATATTTGGTCCACTAAGATGTGTTTTGTGGAATGGAAAGCATTTTGGACCAGCTTTGAGTATATGATGCAAGGTCAAGAGTGGTGGGGCATGGGGGCAGGCTGGAGCTGTCCTTCTATGCCCTGCAAAAGGCTTGTACTTTGTCATATATGCAGTAGCGGGCAACTGATGCATCTTAAGCACAAGAGTGACACAACCCAGTGTGCATGTTAAAAAGGTAACTATGGAGGAGGTAAGGAGGCTGTTTAAGGAAGGAGTGTATAAGAAGAAGGGCGGCGGTGAGACCCAAGACGGAGACGAGGGGGGAAGTAGCCAGTCATCCAGGGAGACATATGAGGACCTGCTTGGTTAAGGTCGATATTTCTATGGATAGAAATTAGAATTTGACATTCTGAGATATTTAGCTCACAAAGTCTTATTTTCATCCTAGTAAAATTTTTTATAACAGTATGTGGAGCACAGACCAAATTCCTTCTTATATTCAGTCTAATGAAAAGGCAATATAATCCACCTACTCTTTGAGCTTTTAGAATATTTCTGAAGAAAGGAGAATGACTGAAAAAGTTAATTGCAGAATACATGTAGTCAAATAGTGTTTCCCAGCATACGGTTTGTGGGAAGGGTATGTTCAAAAAGAAATCAGTGGATTTGTGGGGAAAAGTCATTTAGCTAAAATAGCACAAGAGGCTTTTACGTATATTCCTACAGACAGGCCAACAACAATGACCTTTTCCTCATCATTTTGTTTCACATCGTACCCTGGGAATAATTTCCCTGGAAATAGACACCATTTATGGAGTGTGCCAGATATCATCCTAGCATGCCATGTATGTTGTCTCCTGCACAACAGCACTGGGGTGATGTGCTAAAATGCCCATTTTAAAGATGAGAACGTTGAGATCTGGTGAGGTAAAAATGAGACAGCTACTAGGTGATACAATTGGACTGAAACCCAGATCTGTTTGATTCCAATCCTCAACTGTTTCTACTAAGTATCACAGGCCGCAGACTGGAAGCACTTTCCATTTTCCCTATCCTGCTATTCCAGTTTATTTTCAAAATAATACATTGGTTCCAGACCAGCTATTACAATTGTATTGTTGGAATTAGCTCCTACACTATTGTTGACATATGATATATATTAATAAAAATGAGACAAGTCCATAGGACTTTCAGAGCTAAGAAGGAAGACATTCTAAAATGGTTAATGAGATTTTGAGTTCTCTAAATTCAGTTACTTTTCAAATGCTTCTGTTTTCTTGACATTTTTGGTTTAACTAGTGAGCAATTTGTGCTCACACATCTGATAATATTGAATAAAAATCGTAATTATTGGCTTAAAATGAAAATGTATTCAGTTGTGCCCTTTCTTTCTCAGGCCTTAGAATATCTGCTGTGGGCCAGTATATGCATGGAATCCTCCGTCCCCCTCCTGTCTGTCAGGTACCTGACATGGCGAGCTACTCTTTACACTGCTGTCTGCCAGTGCTACTATGACTGCCAAGCTGGTATTCATGGAGAGGTGGGCTACTTCTTCATTCTGAGGATATCAATATTTTAAAATACAACTTGTGCAGCATATTCTGCTTTAGCTGTCTGGCGAGAAAAAGCATACACAAACAAACAAAACCCAAAGAACTGCAGTGAAGCAAAGACAAAAGTCCCAGGCTTAATTTGCAGAAACTTGCTTGGTTTCTCCTTTTTGTGATCTGTTGCTCTACTGTCTTCTCTCCCCTTCATTTTCTATTCACTTCCACCTTCTTGGCTGCTCTTCTGAATAAGATTTCTGCTGTCTTTCCTTCCTCATTGTATTCTCGTATGCAATTCACTTTCCTTCCCGGTTTAGTTTTCTTTTTTGCATTCAATATTATTTTGTATTAGGTAGGTACCGAAAATATCAGTACCAGAATTTGACTTTTCTTGTTTTCAAACTTTCTTAATTCGTAAAGGTAGCATATCTGACAGTTTATTAACTTTAGATCTGCAGAATTTAGTGTGCTTATAGGAAATGGTAGGCTAGATAACTGTGTTATAGAAAGTCAGCATCAGCCTAGAGTTCAGTTCGTCAGTTAAATCCAATTCTGGGAGAATAAAACATACTGTCTTGGTACATTTTTAATCACTGTACTCTTACTTAAAATAAATTAAATTTATTTTAATTGCACACAGGCATTTGCTCGGCGTGCTTTAGCGAAAATTGATGAATTAAGGCAACTGGAGTCCATGGGTTCCTCACAATCATCAGAAGAATCCAGAAGAGACTATAGAGAGGCCACAATAAAGGTATAAAAATTTCACGAAATAGAAGCCATTTACTGCACTCTACAGTTGAAATACTTCATGTTAGTAGTTGTATCCCATGGTAACTTCATACATGATTCTTCTTTTTGGGGCAGATGGCAGTGATGATCTTCAAAAGAGGAGTATTTGAATCCAGAAGAAAAAACAAAAATTTCTTTAGACCAAAGATAAGAATTAACCTAAGGGAGGTACAAACTGTAAGTCTAAGGATGTCTCCTCTATTTCAGACTCATTTGTGGTATATTTGTGTTATACCTCTGTATCTTTTAAGCTTGCTCACTAAATATTAAACCCTGTATTTTATTCTCTGCATCAGCAGCAAACAGTGAGAAGGATATCTTCCTGATTTGGACACAACCTCACTTCAATCCTTTCTCAAAACTTTTGTACCTTCATACAATCCCAGTTTTGTAGCTTCAAAGGGTATGAAGCTAAAGAAGTTTCTGGTGAAGGTTCAAATGCACAGACCCCTGAGTGGTTCTGCAGGGGCCTTTGTCTTTGGCTGCTTGATGTTCGCTTAGTCATTAGAAGGCTTTGAGGTTGGAGAAAAGGTAGAGGCGCCTTTTCTCATCCGCTTCAGGTGTCTCCTTGGGGAGTGTTTAGGAACTAGGTCATAGTGTAGCAATAAACAGCTCCCATATCTTGGTGCTTTCAAACACCCATTTATTTCCCATTGGAGTCAAGTTATTCTGGGTATCAGGAGTCTCTGCTCGTGACTGCTGCTCAGGGCCCGATTGAGGAGCAGTCCTCATTTCAAAAGTTGCTGGCTATTCTGTCAGAGGGGAGATAGGAGAGCTTTGGAGGGTCTCACACAGATGGTAATGCCCAGCATGGAAGTGATGGTGGTTTATGCTTTTCACATGTCAGGCCTCATCACATGGCCCCTTCCAGCCACAAACGTATTTGGCAAACAGCACTGAGGGCCACCACAGGAGACGGCTGGGACCTAGCTATGTCTTGTGGGGTCCTCTGCCTTTTCTTCCTCCTTCCATTCTTCTTCTCCCACTGTCTTCCCTTTGCTTTTCTGAGTCTCCGTGTTCTTTCAGGCTAGTTCTGTATTTCTTTGAAGCCTTCCCTGACTATTGTAGGGGTCATAATCGCTCTTCTGTGAGCCTCTTTGTGGGGACTGAAAATGGAAGTGAGGGGGAAGAAGATGAGTAGTTTCTGACAGAAGAGGAGTAGAACCTCAGGGTCTGGAAGGGATTTTAGAAATCATTTGGTTTAGCCCTTATCTATTACAGATGGGGACAGTAAATCCCAGAGTATTTAAGTTACTGGCTCTAGGTCACGAAGGTAGCTGCTGGCAGCACTGTGACCAGAATCTGGTCCAGTGCTTTCTCATTGCTACAGTGGCTGCTATTCTCCTAACTCATTTCTTCTTATAGGAGTAATTTTATGTTTTTAAAAAATGTTAAATAAATCAATATTTAAATTCAAGTGCTATTTGGACATTATAGTCATCTATGGCTACTTAGCGTCACTATGTTATATTGAAGACTGAACCCAGAAGTGCATTTCATACTGCCCTTTAAATCATATCCCCTTACCAACCAAAGGTGTATAATTAATTGTTGGGGGTGGTAACTTCCCAAATTATAGATAATTTCATGGATGAGCTGTTGAAATGCCTACATCTGGTTTTGTTAAGTAGTAATGCTATCCTGTTTGTAAGAGAGCAGGGGTCAGTTCTTTCTCACTAGCATTTTTTTCCTCTGAGCAAACCAAATTTATGTATTCAAAACTGCAAGATTGCCATTTACTAGCATATTATTAGGACCTGATTTATAATCATCCTGGTATAAAAATTAAATATATTTTCAAAGAAAAGTGTTTAAAATTCCAGACATTACATTAAAAATAATTTATTTCTGATTTTCTTTAATTTAATTATTACATGGAAATTTATGGTGATATATCTTTTTAGTGGGTAGTTTTTATAGAGAAAAGTGAACATAACCCTTTTTGTAAAGTCATAGTATATTACTTTGACAGTTTGCAGAATGCCCTGCTTTGTATGTATGAAGTAATTTTATTGTTTCTTATAAAATAATTTCAATTTGCATTATATTTATTTTATAAAACATTTTTGAGTTTGTAAGCCAGTAACTCATAGTAAATAATTGTGACTTTCAAAGGATTCTTGTAAAGGACTACTGATTAAGACTCCTAATGATTGACTCATTACTGATTCATTCAATAAACACAGGGTCTGGCACAGATAATGCCCCCTTTTTATTATAAACTCTTATTACAAAATGGTAAGCATGTAATTCTGTAATGTAACAGTATCACACTCAAACACACCACATTACATTTTAGGTGAAATGTTCAAATTAAAACTATAAATTATTATACCTATGTTAATACCCTACCAACTATGCTCAAGCAGGTGTTACTTCTGCTGGACTCTGTATTTTTAAAGTACCTGCTATGTGAACAAGATAGAGATTACAGTTTAGTGGAGAAATTACATAATAAAAATAATAATTGTAGCTTGTCTGAAGTATTAAGGAGGAAATGATGGTAGTGATTAAATGAGTTGCATGTAAATCCCTTAGAATGTTCCTGGCACATAGTAGGTCCTCAGTAAATATTCGCTATTGCTATTGTTTATTTTTCATTCATTCCATATATTGAACACTTAATATTGTTTTCAAGTGTGTGGGATATAGAAAAGACTTAAACTGCAGTTGTCTTTTTGAATGGCTTTAGAATAATAAGCAGGATTTGACCAGACAGGAAACGAGAGGGAAACAGTCTAAGAAAAGGATTAGAAGAGGATTGTAACTCAGAAGCAGGAGTAAGCAAAGTTTATTGGGGACAATGAGAAACTTGACAGGAATAGGTGTACTATGTTGGGAAATTAACATAATGCATTGTATGGAGTAAATATCATGAAAATCATAGTGTTTAGAAGGGGAACAGACTGTTTAGGTTGTGTCATTCAGCTTCTCATCTGTCCTGACATTTTTAAAGATGCTCTTATGTGCCCTATGAAGTATATGTACCAGAATTTGTCTGGTATTTTTATTACTATTATTTAAGTTGTTTCCAATTCTTTGCTGTTACAAATATTGATGTAATCAATATCTTCAAGTATATGTATTTTCTTTCTTTAATTTCTTGTGTATAAAATTCAAGGTATAGGATTTGAATCAAAGGATATACTTTTATTTCTCATGATATATACTGCCAAATTAATTTCCAAAATAGTTTCTCTAGGGTGACAACCTGCATGTATCAATTTTGCCTCAATCTATTACTGTTTATTTGTTATAATTCATTTTCAATAAAATGGCTTGTTTTAATTTTATTTTTAATATTCAACTTTACCTTATATTTGTGTTTACTTTTTCTTTTCTTTTTTGTGAATTACCTTTCAGTCTTTGAAAGATAATCTTATCTTCCTACTAGAGATTTTAATTTTTAAAATATATTTGAATGAACTCAGTGTTTTTTATAGATATTAATATTTTGCTTGTCATGCTTGACAATCCATTTTTTATTGCTTTGACTTTAAATCTTTTTTATAGATCTTAAAAATTTATATTTTAAAATCCTTTGCTTGATATTCATCTGTAGCTCTGATATTCTCTTCTGCTTTTTGCTAGGTTTCCTATGATATTTTAAAAAGCAAGTTCACCCTAATCTATCTGGGTTTTATTTCTGCTTTTGTTTTTCTGTCCTTCTGACTTTGCCCCAAGAAGAGGAAAGTAGGAAAGGAATCATGGGGAATGTGACAGGTATGTTCTAATTGGACAGGGGTTCTGGGAAAGCCACCTAGAGCCACCTTTCTTATTTCCAGGTAATTTGTCAGAATAAGGCCCAAAGCAAGCTGTCAGGAGGTGAAATCATTCTGGGTTGATACACAGCAGAATGGCTGGGAATTCACACAGGGCCTTAACAGTCATTAGCTTATTAGTATACAGGTCAACTCTTCTTTAGAGTTAACTAACATGAGACCAGTTATTTATACTACAAAATACTGTTTCACTTTTGGGTTTGAGGACCCTGCATCGGAATTTCCTGCAGTGCTTGCTAAAAATGTCCCACACAGGCGCACAGACTCTCTGGAGAGGTGGTCTGTGAATCTGAAAAGCCCTCCTGAGAGATTCTCAGGCAACCAAAATTTCAGTATCAGTTCCTGACAGAACCACATATGGTAATGAAGTTCCACAAAGCATATGGGGATTGATGCTGCTCTAATAAAAAGATAGTAATAAACAGCCTTTTTAAGTATAAAAAGGAAATAAAAACATGTAAAAACATAGTAAAGTCTTTGATGTAATGGCAACATGACACAAAACTTAATGGGGTCTGGAATAACACCTCAAAAAATGAAAATCATAAAAGCAGCCATCTCATTGATAGGTTAACCACTCTCTTTTAGCATTAAGCATGTCTTACTTATCTTTGCTTAATAATATCAGACATTATAGAACTTTTTAATATGGACTGTATTTTTTTCTTAATTACAGTTGCCGTGGCCACGTACTGTCACAGAACGGTTGTTGGATGAGATGTTTGATAGCACTTCATCCCGGTTCCTGGCTGTCTTGGAAGCTCTTTCTGATACAAATAGGCGAACACTACAAATTGGACCCATTGTTACTGATGAAGTAGAAGTTCGTGATGTTGTCTCAGAACTGTTCTTAGCAGGAAGAGAACTTTTATTAAGTAAATAAGTTTTTAAAATAATATTTTATTGTAAAACAAGAGAAAGAAAAGTTTTTAGTGTGGTAGTTCACACATAGCTCATATCCAATTTTTATTGATCTTGAATTCAGCAAGCTTCCTAAACTCAATTAATAGTTCAAATAATTTATTAATAGATTTTCTTTTGAATGTTTTATATATACAATCATTTGTGAATAGTGACAGTTTCTAATTCTTAAAAATTTTATTTCTTTATTCTTATTCTTGACTTATTGCATGGGATAGCATCTCCAATAAAACATAGAATGAAAGTGGTAATAGTAAATACCTGTCTAATTCATGATCAAATAATAGAAAGCTGATTTTGGTTTTTGCTAAAGGATTTTTTTTTTTAAAAAATACCCTTTTATAGACTAAAGAGTTTGGTTTTATTCTTGGTTTGCTAGGAGTTTTGTTTCTTTTTAACCTTGAATAGTTGTTAAACTTCTATCACAAGTCTTTTCTGGACCTAAGAAAATTATTGAGTTGATCAAATGGCTTTTCTTTTCCATATCTGTTAATGTGAATTACATTGATTGCTTATCTAACTTTTAAGCACCTTATATTCTTGGAATAATCTAATGTATAGCTGAGAATAATCCTTTTGATATATTGCTTGATTTATTTTTTGCTAATGTTTAATATTTCTGCCTCCCTGTTTGTGAGAGAGACTTTCTTTTCTTGCAAAGTCATTTTTAGATTTTACTGTCAAGGTCATGTTGGCATCATAAAAGGAATTGGAATTAAAATGTATACCTTTTTTCTCTATTACTAATATCTGGAAGAGTTGGTGTCAGACTGGTATTGTTTCTTTCTAAATGTTAGGTTGATTTTACTGCTTAAGCCATTTTGACCTGGAATTTTCTTTGTGGATAGGTTTTTAACTATGAATTAAACTTCTTTCATAGATATAAAATGATTTAGGCTTTCTTTTTATTTAAAAAATCTCCTATCAGTTTGGTATATTGTACCTTCCCTGAAAATTTTTGATTTTATCTAATATTTTCAAATTTTAGTTAAATTTTTAATTCTAGTTATGACCCTTGTAACATCTGTAAGATCTGTAGTGTAGGAGGGCCCCCTTTTTCATTCCTGATAGTGGTAATTTTGCCTTTCCTCTCATTTCATCAGTTTCAGCAGGAGTCTACCAACTTCATTAGTCTTTTCAAAGAACAGTGTTTAACTTTGTTTATCCTCTCTACTGTATATTTATGTTTCATATTAATAATTTCTGTTCTTTATTATTTTCTTTATTTTACCTTCTTGGCTTTATTTTGCTGATTTAAAAAATTTATTGACTTGAAAGCTTAGATCATTGAGTTTCAGGATTTATCCTTATTTAATATTTCTATGTTAAGACATTTCCCTCTAAATGCAGCTGTAGCTATGTACCTAAAGCTTTAATATATCATATCTTCATTACCATTTAGTTAAGAATCTTTGTTCTCTCTTTGGCTTCTGTTTACTGGGCTGAATTTGCAAACCAACAAGAACTTTTCCCTGTTTTTCTATTGGACTCTTTTTTTTTTCTTACTGGTTTTAGGAATTCTTTATAGATTCTGGATATCAGCTTTTATTGAATACTTGTATTGGTGGCTTGCCTTTTCATCTTCTTAATTATAGCTGTTAAGAAACACAAATTTGTTTTGTGTGTATGTGTGTGTTCACAATGTATTCATTCATTCAACAAATATCTGTTGGGTATCCTCTTTATGTCTGGTGGTCTCTTAGGTTCTGTGAGTATAATTGTGAATAGAATATAGCTCTTGGTCTGAAGAACATTCAGCCTGGATATAGGGCATGAGTAAGTATAGATCCAGTCCTGGTTTTATCTTTATAAAATATGGTAAGACTGTGAAGGGAAATGCAATCTTAATGCATGTGTTGAGCTTTTTGTTACTGTACAGTATGTTTGTGCCAGGACCTGAAGCTATAATTTATTCCTTTTCTATGCTATAATACTCCAATATATGAATCTTCCTCTGACCCAGTCTTCTGTGAGTGGATCTGAACTGCTTCCAGTTTGAGGTTATTATACTTTACACTGCAAAGACCATTCTTGTATGTACCTCTTAGAACACAGATTCAGAGGATTTTCAAGGGTATATACTTGGTAGTGGAATGAAATCAGTATTGTTTAGGACATATATCTATGACTTTACCAGATAATGCAAAATTGCTTTCCAAAGCTGATGCTCAAGAGCAGTGGATGAGTGTTCCCATTCTTCCTTATTCTGTCCAATACTTGGTATTTTCATTTTTAAATTTTACCAGTCTAGTAGATATGAGGATAAAAGCATAAGTTGTCTCTCTATGCTTTATGTTGAAGTTATACATAGTCTGTCATGAAATTGGGTCCCAGATCTATGGCTTGTGAGTATAGGTTCTTCATGAATAGTTTTTTCTCCAGTTCCCAGAGTTGAAGCCCAGAGAGCCAAGTTTAGGTTTGCTTACTTATTCTTTGTGTTCTGGTTCACTCTTTTGTGTAGTCTTTAATTGAAACAAGAATTCTTAATTTTAATGTAGTCTAATTTATCAATATATCCTTTTATAGATAGCCATTTTTTTGTGTCATATTTAAGAAATCTCTGCCACCCCAATATCATAAAGGTATATTTGTATGTTTTCTTCTGGAAGTGTTATCTTAGCTCTCACATTAGTTCTAAATTTAGGTCTTTTTTTATTAGTATGAGAAATGAATCAAGATCTGTTTATTTCTATATAACATTCAGTTGATATGGCACAATTTATTGAAGAGACCTTCCTTTCCCCATTGACTATTGTGTCCCTTTGTCATAAATGAAGTGACCATGACTTTTTTCATTCAACATAATTCCCTCGAGAGGTATTCAAGTTGTGTGTATTAATAATTCCTTTCTTAGTATTGCAGAATAGTAGTCCGTGTATCATAGTTTATTCACCTGTTGAAGGACATTTGAGTTGTTTCAAGTTGTTGGCTATTATGAATAAAGCTGCTATGAACATTTGAATACAGGTCTTTGTTTGAACATGAATTTTCATTTCTCTGGAGTAAATGATCCAGAATACAATTATTGGGTCATATGCTAAGTGCATAGTTTCGTAAGAAACTGCCATACTGTTTTCCAGGGTGATTGCATCATTTTACATTCCCATGAACAATGTATGAATGATCCAATTTCATAACATCCTTGACAGTGTTTAGTGTTATCACTATTTTTTAAGCCATTCTGAGACGTGCATAGTGCTATTTCATTGTGGCTTTAATTTGCTTTTCCCTGATGGCTAGTGATCTTGAATATCTTTTCACATGCTTATTTTTTCATTTGCCATCTTTACGTCATCCTCCTCTTCAGTGTCTTTTGCCCATTTTCTAATTGGATTGTTTATTTTTTTCTGTTGCATTTGGGAGTTCTTTGTATGCCCTAGAAACAAGTCCTTGTCATTGCTTTTTAAAATAGTAGATATGTTAAGGTTTTTCCTCATCCTTACTTACTTTTTAACTGCTGCTTCATAAGTTAATTTCGTTTTGCTCAAATAAAAACTTTAAGAACTTTGAAATAGTTTTGCTGGTATAAGGTTTTGCTTAAAAGTTTGTTTCTTTTAAAATTTTAGAGATGTTTCTCCATAATCTTGCATTTGATGTTGAAAAGTCTGTTTAAATCTTGTTGTTTTATAGATTCAGCTTGTACATTTTTTCTCTTATTGATGATGTTCTTACATTGCATTATACTGAGTATAGGGGTGGGTTTAGTAATACAGGAGGTACCTTGAGGTCTTACATCTTTAATTTTTCATGTTACTTCTTCATTCCTACTGTTATTTTTACTTTTCTTAATTCTCCAAGGGTACTAATAGACAAATGTTAACACATCCACTCTCCATATCTTATTTATTTTATTATTTTTACCTCTTTATTCCTTTCTATTGTCTTCTGAGAAGATTTCTCAGTCTAATTTTCTACATTACTAATTTGCTTTTTGATTTTCACTGTTCTATTCCATCCATCTATTGAATTCTTTGTTTCAATAAAATATTTTATACCAAGTATCCATTTGATTCTCTTTTACAGCAGTTTATTCTTGCTTCATGTTTCTAGTGTTCTCTTACTTCCTTGAGGGAATACTTACTAAGCTTAAATTGTTGTTCACTCTGTCCCATTTTTATGCTTCTTGTGATAAAGGATGTTGTCATTTGTGGTCTTTGTTTCAAGGAGTTTGTGCTTTTAATTTTCTTTGCTCATGAGCTTACCTTCTGTTGCTTTGGAACATCAGCTGAGTTGGTGATAATGTCTGCCTGGAAGGAGAGGGGAAAGCTAGGACCCCAACCTTAGCTTGTGTACTTCTAAGTGAGCTTAAGATGTGTGTGTGTGTATATTTGCATGCACGTACCCGTGTGAGGACAGGGGACCTGTGCCAGCTGGGGCTCATCTTCACAAGGAAGATACAAAATCTCAGATAAGAATTCCCTTGACTTCCTTCGCCCAAACCTGGAAGTTTACCTTCATCTGCATGCATTCTTTCCACTCTCTTATTAAAATGAAAGGGATGTTCCTTATTAGATTTTTAAACCTAATCTCTCCAAACCCTTCATGTCCACTTTCAGCTTCCTCTCTGAACTCCTTCTTCTTGTTACAGTCAGATTTATTGAAGCAATTGTCTGTTTTTCACTGTCCCCAGTTTTTCCTTCCTGCTTGCATATAAGCAGTCTTTGTCCTTGGCACTCTACTGAAAATTCCCTGACAACCTCCTTAGTGCTCCACGCAAGGGTCACTTCTCAGTGCTCTTCCTCTTACTCTCTGTAGTGTTTGTTGCTGTTGATATTCTCTCCAAACATTCGTCCTTGCCTTCCCTTCTCCTCTGTCTTCCCTTTTCTGACATGTTGTGTTCCTTACCGTTCTGTCCTAGGCAGCTGTGCATGGTCCATGGAGCGTCCTATCACTTACTGTGGATAAATAATGATGACTGTAAAAACTATATTCCTAGTTCAGATCCCTTTCCCGAGCTTTCAGTCTGTAACATCCAGCTGCCTATTTGTCTAGGTAACTCTTGCTAATTCTCTATGTTTGACATTCTGTGAGTAGCCTTCCCCAGCCGCTCTCATAGCCTAAGCCTTATATTCAATGCCCTTCCAATCTGTTTCCACAGTGCCCTGAATTTGCCCACTAAGATTTCTGGTTCTTCCCACTAGAGTATAAGCTCTGTGAAGGCCTGAACCGTGTTTCTTTTCCATTGTTCCCCTATTGCCTGGCAATGTCTCATAGTTAACATTTAGTAAATATTTCTTTGCATGAATGACATTCAAACCTCTCTGTTTCCTTTCCTAGTGTCAAATACTGGTATAGAGGGAATGCTTGGCTTTCCAAAAACACCTCTTCTGGAACTTATTATAAAAAGAAAAAATGTTATTTCTATAGATGCTGCTGTGAAATTTATAAAGTTGGCTTTTACCTATGAGGAGTGGAGTTTATTTGAATCTGCCGCTGGGCAGCTTATTGAATTTCTCCAGGTAATATATGCAAAATCATTAATTTGTTTTTATATTGTTAAGATGACTTTGAGTTACTGATTAACTTGTGGGATATACTTCTCTTAGGGACAGGATGATCCAGAGTTAAAGAAAGCAGAGAAGGATTTAACCCTTCTTATTGCAGTAGAACCTCTAATCAATGTAAAGAGGAACAAAGGTTTGATCTTTCCTTTGGAAAATTACAAGGAAGGACAGTCAGCTTTTTATGTTAAAAAGACTGCTTTTCCTGGTGAGTATTTATTTATCTCTTTGAAAAATTAAGGTAATTTTATCTTACAAAATATGGTTTTTATAGATGAGGTGAGAGAATATTCAAGGCAGTGGGAACAGGAAGTGCAAAGGTCCTGAGGTGCTTGATTGTTGAAGAAATAGCAAGGAGGCATGTATGGTTGGAGTGCACAGGTGGTGGTTATGGCATTTGAGAACGTGTAGGAGATGTGGTCAGAGAAGTAGCTGGGTGTCAGATCTTGCAGGATCCTGGGCCTTGTAAAGATGAAGGATTTTATTCTGAGGAGTGGTTTTGAGTAGCAGAAGAAGGTTTTACCTAGCTGTTGCCTTGTTGGTAGTTGAGAGACCAGCTGGGCAGTAAATTAAAAGCCATTAGTGACTTTGTAAGGGAAGGTTTGGTGATCTCCTCTCTTTCCAGCATGCAGTTTTCCCTTTTGTTACCATTTATGTAACTGAAAAAAAATGCAGCCTCTATTTTTTTAGAGCAATCAGAATAATATAATCCCATTTTTTGTGGCTTATCATGTTCTTAGGGCGTGGTATGGCTGCTCAATTATAGTAAATAATTTGCACCAAGTAATTGTACATTTTTTTCTAGTAGTTTCTGAATACATATTTTTGTTATTTTTATTTCAACTGCCATATTTCATATGTTTTAATATTACAAGCCTCTTTACTTCCATTTGGGGTATAGTCGGCATACAGATTATACAATAGATTCATGATAATAATAATAACAATGATAATAGTCCATTTTAATTGGAGCCCACTTTGATTAGTTTCCATATAGAAGCATCCAAAGTATCTTATTGACATAGTATTTGCTCAGATATCATTTGTGTCATTTTTTATAGAACTATGTTTCTGTCCTTTTTCTATTGGAAATTTTGTAATTGACTTTTTGTTTTATTTTCCTTTACTTTATGAATTGAGATACTGGTATGAAGACTTATGGATATTCAGAAGATATTTTCCATTTAACAACAACCCTATATTCCTGTGTCTGCACCTCTCCGCAGGTGAAGTAGATATTTGGATAACTTTAATAGTATTAAAGGAGGCTATTATACCTAATTTAAGTCAGACTTAAAATATCACAAGAATGGGCCCTTCTCAAAATGCTATATTTTTTAATCTTTATAATAAGGGATTAAGTTATATCCTCACTTGTAACTTTAAGTCTCTTTTTATTATTGTCATCATTTTGAATGCCAATCTATTTCTTTTTGGGAAATTTTTAGGCTACCTATATTTTTAATAATGAAGGAATGAGGCAGTGGTTTTAATGTACAATTAATATTCTTAATGAAATTCTGCTTTTCAGTCCATGAGTACAAAGCCTGGTTATTATTTGGAATCACATTGCACACAATGGCCAGTATTTAGAAATGACCTTTTGTAGATGCACACATCTAAGTAAAATTAGTACAGTACTGGTTTTAAAACTAAATTCTAGGGATCTCCAGGCCTTCTTTGAGATTTCCTTGGGGGCCCAGATTTTGGTAGTAACGCCCTGGCCTATTTTAATTAGTTTTTATTAGTTGAGATTCTGATGGAATTTTATTTGAAAATTTGATTTTACTGTTATAAAAATGTTTGAAAACCAGTTATAGTTATAGTTATATTATAGTTATATTAATATAGTTATATAGTTATATTAACTTTTGTTCAGGTAAGTGAAACGCAGTGAGGGACCTGAGAAGTTCTACTGCTAAAGTGTTTTCTATTCTGGGTTTGTGAGAAAATGGTGTAACGTGGGGTAGGTTTTTTTATTTTATTTTTTTAATTGTTCAGATACATTTGTCTCCATTTTCTCACCACCACTTTCCCCTGCCCCCCTCCCCCCTCCCTCCCTCTATCCTTTCCCGCTTTGGCTTTGTCCATGGGTCCTTTACCCATGTTCCTTGACTTGACCCTTCCAGTCCCGTTCCCCACCCCTGCTTCCCTCTTTCCCTCTTGATTCTGTTTGTTTCTTTTTTCTTTCAATGTTGCTGGTTGTATTTTCCTTGCTTCTTTGTTTTGTTAATTAGGTTCCACTTATAGGTGAGATCATATGGTATTTTGAAAAAAGATATTGGATAGCAAATACAATGATCATAGTAAGGCAACTAAACCAAAAACTTTTAATCAAGGCTGAAAAGAGCAAGGAATTCTCACCTATCTACTTTTTTAAAAATCATGCATATTTTAGTTCGGTTCAATGCAGTAAACATTTATTGATCTCTGTTATGTTCCCACTGTACTAAAGGTGCTGCATATACAAATTAAATCTTTGAGCTGCCCTAAAGGAGTTCAGTTTTGTTTGTTTTAATCATAAACTCATTATCTTTCTAGTTCAGATATAATAAATACTTTATATTTCTTTGAAAAGACAAATAACTGATTTAACAGGACATATACTCATTCCAGATCACCTCTTGATATCCATGTGACATTCTGTTTAATTTCTTCATGTCTCTTTCCCACCTCCCATTTCCACTCCTCTTACCAGTTAACCTCCCCCCCCATTCTCTGCTATTATAATATTGGAATTTAAAAAGAAAGAGTATATAAACATTTCAAATTTGGTTTACCTACTACCTAAAGATGTTAGAGACTTCTTTTTTAGAGAGACAGAAGTAACCTAGAGTATTTGTTCAGACTGAGGTCTTTGGTGCTAGATTGCATGGGTTTGAATCCCAGTTCTGCTACTTTCTATTCACTTCATCTTGGGAAAAAAACAAAAACAAAACAATGTCCTTGTGCTTCAGCATGCTCATCTGTATAGTGGGGATGATAATAAAGTGGGAATGATGAGATGGTATTGATCTCATAGATTATGAGGATTAAATGATTTGGTATAGTTCTTAGTCTGTTCAGGTTGCCATAATGAAAAATGCCAGAGACCAGTGATCCCCAACGTTTTGACACCAGGGCCCAGTTTCATGGGAAAGCTTTTCCATGGACAGTGGGTGGGGGAGAAGGAACAGAAGCTCAGGGAGTAATGTAAGCGATGGGGAGCAGCTGTAAATACAGATGAAGCTTCGCTTGTTCACCCTCTGCTCTGTGGCCCAGTTCCTAACAGGCCGTGGACTGGTACCAGTCTGTGGCCCTGCCGTTCAAGGACCCCTGTTATAGACTGGATGGCTTAAACAACAAACATTTATTTTTTACAATTATGGAAGCTGAGAAATCGAAGATTAAGATACCGGCAGATTTGGTATCTGGTGAGGACTCACCTCCTGTTTTATAGATGGCTGTCTTCTCACTGTGTCCTCACTTGGTGAAAACTGAGAGACTCTGAGAATCCTTTTATAAGGGCATACTCCCATTCATGAGGGCTTCGCCCCCATGCCTCATTACTTCCTAAAGGCTTTACCTCCCAATGTCATCACACTTGGAGTTAGGGTTGCAACATAGGCTTTGAAGATACAAACAAGCAGTCCATGGCTGTGTGTTTATCTATCTTAGAATGTTGCCTGGCACCCATTAAATATCAACCATTTATATACTTTACTATTATTTTTTATTTTATCTGACTTATTTAAAATAAGATGTACAATGAAATCAGTGAGGCATACGTAAGCAATCAACATTGGTCACATGACAAATTCTCTGTCTTGTTATTCTTAATTTATTTTACCACTTTTATTTTCAGAATGTTCAGCCTGATAAAGAAATTGTGGTGGACATGATAATGTTCTTATGGCAGAAATGCAAACTAGGAATTCAGCGGACCAATATGTCCAGAAAAGACTTTGCGAAATTCACCCAGAAAATCAGTACTAATAAAGTATTCCTTTTTTTTCTTCACTTCTTTTTAAAATCATGTTTATTCTATAACAATTGTCTCAATTTTTCTCCCTTTGCCCTCCTCTACCCAGCCCACCCCACCCCCTGCTCCCACAGTCAATTCCCACTCTGTTGTCCATGTCCATGGGACATTTTTTGTTTATTGATAACTAAATTGTGATAATTAAATTGTCTCTATTTACCCACCTGTATAACTACTATTTTTAAAAATTAATTGTTGAGTGAGCTTTTCTCCTTAAGTGTATTCTCTGTATTTCTACCAGTTTAGTTTTGGGTAAGGGAGGTGTTTTGAGTTTTTAAGGGAGGAAAAATTAGAATGTGTCTGAGGTCACATGAGCTTGGATAAATTTAAGACAGTTAATATTAGAAAACAAACAAATAAGGAGATTCATGTTCTTTTCCTGCAGTAATATATTTAGACTATTTTAAAGAGCTATTCATAGGAAGAAAAAAGTTGAGCAGGTGAATATTATAACGTGGAAACTTAGGAGAAAATATTTTAGCAACAACACGGTCTCCAGTGATTCTAAGGCGTCCTGACACTAGCTACATTAGAACGCATGGGCAGGATTTTATCACATTCTCTGTTGAAGTGATGATGGAGGCATAAATATTGTTTGCTCATCTTAGCTCCCAAAGTGTGGTGCCTAATTTTGTACTAAGTTTTGGGGACATAAGCATGGAAGACAGTGTTCAAGGCACCTAGCGTGGAACCTAAAGCACCTGCTTCCCCCTCACTATTTTGGAGGACTTTAACAGTGATCATAACAGCTCTTTTTAGGAAGGGGAATGAGAATTTTGAGGATCATATTCACTGATATATAAAAATAACAGTGACTTTTCCATTATGGCTGTAATGCAGACAATAAGCATAAGGGAATCTTCTTTATTAATTTACATAAGCATATTTATTGTTAAGTATAATCTTATTAGGTTCATTGATCTTTATATTATTTATAATTAAGATGCACTAATAAGGAGGGGATGTCTGTATAACATTTTCATACAATTAGCAGATGGTGATTTGAAGGAAGTACTAAGTATTGAACAGTGTGACTCCTTCTATAATGTAATATACTTTAATTTGATTTTGCTGTATATTTTCTCCTTTTGTTTTTTGTTTTTTCTTTTTAGTGGGTTTATCTTCTGTGGCAAATCAATGAAGTAATTCACTGCTATAAAATGGAAGACATTGACATCGTGGTGGTGGCAGAGGTCACGTTACGATTAAGTGAGATATTGGAGTCTTTAGGAAACCCGAGAAGAAAATTTAAAAAATTTCTAGGTAAAACAGCAAATTAAAAGTGATGATATTATATATATATATATATATATATATATATATATATATAAAATATATATGCATTTATGCACATATAAATATATAAATATAAATTGGAATACAGGGTAACTTCTATTAATGGAAACTAGGTATTTCGATATTGTCTTTCATTGATGATTTATAATCAGAAATAATATAGGTTTAACCAAGTGGACATTAAAAAAAGGTTATATGCCATATGATTCGATGACAGACAAAACTCTGTCTTGTCACATTTCCCTTTTCTGTTCCCATCGCCACATACCCCTTCCTCATTCTTCCTATTTCCCCGTTTTTTTTTCTCCTTTTATTCCCTTGTGCACTTCCTCCTCTTCCATTTCCTGGTCCAGTGCATGTTTCTTGAAGGAAGAGAGCATGTTTTAGTCACCATTATATTCTTGGTACCCACCACAAGTTCCCAGCTCTGCCTACTCTCTGTTATTTAACATGGCTTTGCAGGTAGAGTTTGAGAGCCATGGTTCCCAAACTTTGATCAGGATCAGTATTACCTGGAAACTTGTTAAAACGCTAAGGCCCAGGCCCTATTTCATTTCAACTCTCCTGGGCCTTTCTCATCTTATTAGCTTACCAGGCAACTTGATATGCATTCAAGCTTGAGAACCACTGCTTAGAGGTATCTGGCTATCTACACGATCAATGTCCTGAGGCCATATTTAGAAATGTCCTGTCTTTAAATGCTTTCTCCTTTTTAAAAACTTTTATTGTGCAGAATTTCAGTTATTGAGAGAGAAAATAAATCATCATGTATGCGTCATCCAGAACTAATAATTATCGACATCTTGTCAATCTTATTTCATTTCATCTGTCACTGCAATGCTTTGCTTTTTCCTGAAGTGTTTTACAGCAGACATCATGTCATTTCACCAGCAAATACCTCAAAATACCTCCGCATGCATGTATGTGTGTATACATACATATATATATAGTGTGTGGGTGTTCGTCTGTCTATCTTTTGGTCTAACATCTTTCTTTTAAAACCACAGTGCCATCATTATTATATTCTACATGATTTGTGAAATTTTCTGTGTTCCTGATTATAGTATAAATATCTTAGGTTGGTTTGTTCCAATCAAAATCCAAGCAAACTCACATATTTTATTTTCTTATACATCTGTTCTCCCTTTCTAATCTATTACAGTTCTTCTCCTCACCCCCTTTTCAAGCCAGTTTTTTAAGAAATTGAGAAATTACACTGTAGGATTTCCCGCTTTGTGGATTGGGCTATATGCATCCTTGTGGTGTCAATTAACTTGTTTCTCTACCTGGTAGTTAGGTCTAGAGGTTTGCTTAGGTTCAAGTAATATCTTGTGTAAAAGAATTCTTCTCAATATGTTATTTTTTTGGCAAGATACTTCATAGGTGGGGCTATCTGTCTCTTGCATTGAATCAGGAAGTATGTAATGCCTGGTTGCTCCCCTTTTTGTGGTGTCAAGATTTGTCAGTGAGTTCAGGTGTTGTCAGCCTCACTTTTTTCCTACGTTGGTTTCTTCAGAAGTAGATTCTGAGGCAAGTTGTTGAGTGAAGTAGTTTACTTGGGACATTATCCAGGGAAGCATGGTGGTGGAGTGGAGAAGTAAGACAGAGGAAAGGAAGCCAATACAAAATTCAGTAAGTTAATGAAAAGTCTAGGTGAGTCCGGGACTTGCTCCCATGAGGGACTGTTAGGAGATCATATAGAACATGCCTCAGAGAGCTGGGAGGTTGGAGTATTTATACAACTTTTATATGTTATTGTTTGAAGGCGACTGGAGGGAGTGGGCATGAGAAGCCAGGTGGTGCCTCAAACTTCTATCATTCCTTCTGCATTTATTATATTGAATTGTTCAATGAAGAACTTCATTAGCTACTTGGTTACTTTGCTTAGTTTTGATTGTGTGGTAGACATTATATTTACTAAATATTTTATAGAAATAATTTGAGACCTTAGGTTGTTATCTTCTTCCAAAGATTTATCCTTGCTTTTACTAGATGTACAAAGGCACTACTGCTCCAGGATCCCATTAGTCCAATTTGAGAGATTAAGATAATTTGAAGCAGTCATGCTCTCTCTTTGAAGACCTATTTTCAGTTTACTCTGACTCCTAGGATCCCTTCTGTTCTCACCCTCGGTGGGTCCTGGATACCAATCCTTTTTGCTGTAGCTTGTCAAGGCTGTCAAAAGTACCCCTCAGCTTCTCAGCTTCCCTCTCTAGAAATGACAAAATCCCCCACTGGGAAAAAAATCTCTGATGCCATTTTGTACTCTCTGGGCCCCCTTCTGAAAATGCAGGTGATGTTCCCTTCTCAAAGCCCCAGCCTTATGTTGAGTTTTCATCACTTTCATGGCTTATGCATGAGGGAAACATGTACTTTCCAGTTTTGCTAGTTGTCTTTAGGCAAGAGAATTTTTCTAGATTACCTCTTTCTGGAAGCAAAAGGCCCAATAATTACTTTTTTTTTGTTTTTTAAATCTCTGCCTTATTCAATGTTAATATTTTATTTACTAGTTACTTTTGGGAGACTATTATATTGTTGTGTTTTATACTCTTTAATTATAAATGGCCTATATATAACTTATTATTATTTTTTGTTAAAATGTTTGATTTCCAAAAAACTAATCAATATTGGAGCACAGTCTATTTATGAATTTGGAAACTTCTACATTTATGTAATGAGGGGTCATCCCCATGTAGATACATAAATTCATATAACTTTCCCAAAATTGTTTTTCTCATCACCTTATTGGCACATAAAACATAAAGTACAAGTCATTCTCTTATACTAATTATGGCAGTGTGCTTCAAAATGCTTATTAGGCTATTTATTAAGTAATACATTATTTAGTTTAAATTACTGGACAAATTTTAAGACAGGAAGCTAACAGTGTCATATAAATATTTATAATTTATATTTCTCTAATTTAAACAAGCCCTCTCTGATATTTGTCTAGAATCATAAGGCTTCTGCACTATTGTTTTCTGAATGGTTCTAAATTGACTTTATGAAAGGAAAACCAATTCCTTTACCCTGTTTTATCTGATTGATAATCAAGAGTCTTGATTTGTTTTGTTGTATTGCAAGATGCTTTTATAGTAACTTATAAAAAGGAAAAAAGTAATTATGTAGAAGAAACAATGTGGGATTTAGTCAAACTCTAAAATGTTACATCATTTCTAAAATCTTGGGTAATTAAAAAGATAACCAGCTTAGCATAATATTTTTTATGATTATGATTCATTTTTCATTGTTCTCTTTTTCTTTTTTCGGGTCCTTCCTTCTTTCCCTTTGTTTGCTCCTCTCTCCTACCCTCTCCTACTCTTCTTACTTTTCCCCCTTTTCCTCCTCTTCCTCCTACACTTTCCTCCCTCTCTTCCTCTCTACCTCCTCCTTTTCTTCCCTTCTTTCTCTTTCTTTTTTTTCAGGGGCATCTTTCAGTAAAGGGACTGATGAAGTTATTGGGACTCAGAATGGGGATCTGGAAATTCTTCCAATATTGAAGGTATTGCAAAATATTTTTTAAAATATAATTAAAACATGAATTTTATGTAAATAATATTAAATTTGTAAATGTAGAATGGTTAATTATAGAAATAATTTTGAATATTTGAAATTTGATAGTTTATGGTTTCTGCATACATTTAGAACTACTGGGACATTTTTCTACCTTTTGCTTTTGCTCTAGAAAAATATTCAATCAGCTTTAAAAATAAGCTAGTTAGCCCTGACTTGTGTGGCTCAGTTGGTTGGGCATCATCCTGCAAAGTAAAAGATCACTGGTTTGATTCCCCGTCAGGGCACATGACTGGGTTGCAGGTTTGGTCCCTGGTCAGGGTGCGTATGAGAGGCAACTGATCAATGTTTCTCTCTCACATTGATGTTTCTCTTCCTCTCTTTCTCCCTCCTTTCTCCTCTCTCTAAAAATGAACAAAATCTTAAAAAATAAGCTAGATAAAATATCTTAAAAGGATTTGTAGTTACATTACTATTGATGTTTTGAATGTGTTGTGATTCATAGACTTTCAGAGCAGAGATATCCTACTCTGACAATGAGTTATTACCTATTTAAAATGTACTTAGAACCATCCCTGACACATGGTAAGTTTCCAGTGAGTGTTAGCTTAAGAGAATAAAGGAGGTGAGGGAGATGGTTGGCCATCCCTCTTCTTGATTATGTTTTTTCTTACATTTGAATTATTTATATATGTTATGGATCATGTTCTATAGATATGAATGGGAGCCTAGGGAGCTGTTTCATATGTGTAATAAACATTCATTCATTTACAGGCAGGAACTAGAATAGCATTTTACAGACTCCTATGTGATGCTAGAATTATGATTTAGAAGTGAATGCTATGGTCAAGTAACTTTGGGTGACTTTGCATTAAACACAATAGGTTTCTTACTGTAAGACTTATCAGAGGCATTAATTTGCTTATGAGTACTGTCGTTTTCCAAGGAGGAGACATAAAATCCCCTATGTTCCATTATTTGAGAATAAACCCATTTTATACCCTACAGATTACCTACTTAGGACATGGACTGCAATTAAAAATACTTTTTTTTTTTTTTTAGCTAGGAAGCCAGTGATCTCTAGGTTCCTAATTAATTTAAAAACTATAATTTTTACATTACAAATGTTGTATTAATGTTAGAGGACATTTTGAAGTATAAAAAATAAAGAAAAATGCAATTTCACTATAAACCTAAATAATATCTTTTAAAAATATTCTTTCCTAGTCTTTTTCTTAGTCTCCTTAAAAATATAATAGCCTTCTGATGTTTTTCTTAACATTATTTTACCAACACTTTTCCTCTTGCTAAATGTTAATCCCCATGATTACCACATTTTTCTCTGGCAAATTGATTTGAATAATATGACATAAAATTATTAATAGTAAGGCCATGATAAAGAAGACCCATTTCCCCAACTACCAGCTTAAGGAAACAAAATATTACTAGTACTAGTAGAGTTGAAACTCAAATCCTTCACTAACCCCTCCTGACCATATCACCTCCCTCTCACCCCCTGCCTGGGAGTAACTACTGTTATAAATACAGTGACTATAAATTCTAGGCATTTAATGCTGTGCTTTTATTATGTGTGTGTGTATTCTTGGGCAGTAAAGAGTATTGCTTTTACGTTTATATCAGTAGTGTCACACTGTGTATGCTCTTCTGCAGCTTGCTTTTTGAAACTCAATATTGTGTTTGTGAGATTCACCCAAGGTGATTTGTGTAGCCATAATATTCATTTTCACTACTATAGCCAACTTGCTCTAAGTCACACAGTAAGTGGCTTTGAGCTTAGATATGTTGCCCACAAAGTCCAGGCATTTAGACACTATGCTATGTTGACTCTTGGTTATAAAAAGGTATTTTCAGGATATTTTTATAAGAGATATTTTTCTTTTTTTATTGTTGTTCAAGTACAGTTGTCTCCATTTTACCCCCACTGCTCTCCCCCCAACCCACCCCCACCTCCAATCCTCAATCCTACCCTCCTTTGGCTTTGGCCATGGGTCCTTCATACATGTTCCTTGACTACCCTTCCCCTTCTTTCCTCCATTATTCCCCGTCCCCCACCTTCACTGGTCACCGTCAGTTTGTTCTTTATTTCCCTGTCTCTGGTTCTATTTTGCTTGCTTGTTTGCCTTGTTGATTAGGTTCCACTTACAGGTGAGATCATATGAGGTTTGTCTTTCACTGCCTGCCTTATTTCACTTAGCATAATGCTCTTCAGTTCCATCCATGCTGTTGTGAAGGGTAGGAGCTCCTTCTTTCTTTCTGCTGCATAGTATTCCATTGTGTAAAAGATATTTTTTTAATGCACAAAAATACAAGTCCTAAGAAACTGGATACAAATCAAATATGAAAGGACTGAGGAGGACTGGGAGGCCACTCTGAAATTACTTTCTCAAATGAATGTTCATCTAATTACAGGTTTCAGGGAATGCGATTTTTGAGTTTTTTACACTGTATTATGTCTTCTGAAGAGAGCTAGAGTTAAGAAATCTTAAATTAAAAACAGAATGTTTGAACTGCATACGAGATTGAGGTGGTGTAACTGTCTGCCAGTGGTGTTTTCACGGATTACTTATAGTGTTTGCCAAATATACAGCTTCCTGTTTCCCATTTCAGACATAATGAATCATAATTTCAGGTGTCATCATTTCAGAGCTTCTTAAAGTTGTTAATTCAGGTATGTGCCTCTTGAAAGTTCCCAGATAGAGACTTAGGGAACAAGACTTTGAGAATCGCTGGCTTAGTGGGCTGGCACTTACTCTCCAAGGCTTCCTGGGGCGAGGACAGGATCACTAGTGGAAGTTCCAAAGTCCTAGGTTCTGGCTTGTGATGGAAAATTTCTGGCAACGGATGCCACTAAATGAAATGGGTTTCATAGAATGTGGCAATTTTTCCACAACAACAAAAACTGAACATCACTTATGAACTATTGCTGTTATTTAAATTAGAAAAATGTGTACTTCCCTTGAGATGATTTACTGTCATCTGATGGGAAACTGTCAAAATAGGTACACAAGTCTGATGACAATATCGTAAATGCATCCCCTAAAATTGTTCAATATACAACCTTCCCCTTATACTGGGGCTCACGGTAGATGCACTAGAGGTGATTCACGGGGGAGGTCTAAGGTCACAGCAGTTAGTGCTGGGAGACCTGGAGTTGAGTTCTGACTGATACTGACTGCTTGTGTGATGATGAGTAAAACATTTCATCCATAGTGTTTGTGTCCTCATCTGTAAAATTATAACAATAGTACCTATTCCACTTGCACTATTTAAGTTATGCAAGTTAAACTAGATATTGGGAGCATTGTGGAAAACAGTACCCGGCCTATGGTAGCCATTCAGTTTTTCTCCTGTTTCATACAGAGCACTGCACGTCCACCTAGGACCTCCGACCCATGTGAAGGGGAATGAAGTGGGGAGAGAGTGATAATTTATTGTAAGGACAGTCCAGAATCCATATGCTCACCTAGCAGAGTCTGTCAGTGAGATAGATTTTATAGCTCGCATGTACACATACAACTCTTTTACAAAATGAGGTGCTAGTGTGCTTATATAAAATAGTATTTTAGAATTATACTGAATATATAACAGCTGTTTTTCAACAAATGGATTATAGAATTATAACGACTCATGACTGTCTACCTCATAGGACTATGGAAATTTAAAAATTAATCCGTATAAAGCATTTAGCCTAGTACCTGGAACACGTTTTAATTAAATCTTAACTGTGATGATGAAGATGATAAGAAAGATGGTGGTAGGGATGATGACGATAGAATGTGGGTGTGTGTGGGGAGTCTGAAATTTTTTGATGTCAAAAAGATATCCTTAGATACCTTAGTTTCTGGAAAAGCAGCAGACTAGATGACCTGAATACTCTTGCTCCAAACTAGATGAGCTTGAATGGATGTATGTAACCAAATTGTGTCTGATCCAGGAATGCAAGGATGATTTAACATTAGAAACTCTATACTGCAATACACCGCTTTAGTAGATGAAAAAAAGTATGACCACCTCACTAGATAAAGAGATTCAATCAAAGCATTTGAGAAAATTCAACAACTTTTTTTTTAAAGGATAAGTTAGGAATAGAAATTCTGTATCCCATGAAGGGTATCATCTGAAGACCTTCAGTGAGCGTTATACCTATAGTAAATAATGAAAAGCAGTCCCTTTATACTGATGTTAACAACATATCTTATTCTTCTGTCCACGTCCTAGAGGGCTTAGACTACTGAGTTAAAGAAAAAAAGCAGAAAAAAAGATATAAGAACTGCAAACAATGTACCAACTTTGTATTTATTCACTGACAAATATAATACATTGCACATTTTTAGCAGTAGCAGTCTAAATGTCCATCAGTAGAAGAGTGGACAAATAAATTGTGACATATTCCTGCGTGTAACAACAATTTACTGCGGCCATGAAGATGAATGAGCTGGAGCGAGCTTGAGCCAGAGCAAGCTTGGCATTATTGCCATTCTCTTGTGTGCATTATGAGATGGAGGAAAACCTGCATCTCATTTCTGTATGGTTCTCAGTCAGTCTTCCAATGAGGGACATTTGCATGAGTTTGTAATGCATTAGAGAAAAGAGAATTTTTATGCCACAGTGGCAGATGGAAGAAGTGAATTTACTAGCCCTAATGGGCAAGCTCTTGCAATTTACTTGCTTTAGTGTAGTAGATCCTTGAGGTTGCCAGCTACCTCCTAGATTCTTAGATCCACAGAGGCAAAATAGTCACTGGCAGCTTTCCTGATCTTTGCTCCCCAGGCCTTCCAATAGTGATAGACACCGCCAGCTTTGTATATGAATTCCCTTTCTGTTTGGAATATCTAGAGTCGTTCTGTATTCCTAACCAAACCCTGACTGGCACATGGAGTTACACACACCAGCATGAAAAACTTTCAACAACATATGGTTGAATAAAAAAAGCAAACAGCAGAATTTTATGAGTGAATTAAAAATATGCAAAACAATAGTGCATGTCATTAATGGACGTGTACACATTCAGTAAAAGTTTAAAAACATGCAAAAAAATGTAGAACCAAATTCAAGGGCAATGGCTACCTTTGGGGCAGAGAAGAGCAATGTCATTGTGGCAGTTACACAGGGATTTCGACTCTTTGCACGTATGTGTTTGCTTTATTTCCTAAATTTTTTTCTGTAGAAAATATGGAGAGTTAGAAAGTCTGAACAAAATTTGTTGCTTTTTATGTTAGTTAATATATATGAGTAATTACATGACAAAGTTATTTATTTTTTGAAAATCAAGGTTGACTTTTGAATTTGATGGATTCTAAGTGTAAGTTTCTAGCTCTGAGATTCTGAGGTTTAAAAAAATTAACTTTCGAAATATGTGAAAGTTAACTTTTAAAGTATGTGAAAATGACAAATGAGTTATATTTAAAAAATTTACCTATGCATTTGGTACACTCAGAATTCTGAAAACCATAAAAGTAAGTTGCATATGTGATGGTGAAAAGTCTAATTTATATTTGGAAAAATGATGAAATGTATTCATTATTTTACCTTCATTAATAGTACTCCATATTTAATCAAAGACAAATACTTTTAGTAAGAAATATAACATTGTTAACATCGGATAGACTATTTACATTTGTTACTTGTTTTGAATTGTTTTTGAAAAGAGTTTAGAAATTCTGCATATGATTTTTCCTCAACTTTCATTTTTATTTTTTGTTTATAAAATCACTTTAGAAAAAACCCTTGGAACAGTTATTTTTGGCTTATGAACTTCTTGACAAAGCAATTGGTGCAGTAAATTTCAATTGCATGTTAACTACTTTGCCAAATGGATCCTCAGTGTTTGATCATTACTATGCCAAGGTAAGAATGGGAAACTCTTAATTTAAATGTTTTATTGTTTATGTTATTGCATTTGTCCCAAATTTCCCCCTTTGCCCTCCCTCCACCCAGCCCCACCCCTACTCCCACAGTCAATCCCAGGGAAAATCCTTTCTTAAAAAAGATTTTATTCATTTATTTTTAGAGAGAGGTGAAAGGAGGGACAAAGCAAGGGAGAGAAACATCGATGTTCAAGAGATACATTGATTTGTTGCCTCTTGCATGCCCCCAACTGGTGACCTGGCCCACAACCCAGGCATGTACCCTGACTGGGAGTTGAACCAGTGACCTTTGGTTCACAGGCTGGCACTCAATTCACTGAGTCACACCAGCCAGGGCAAGCCCATGGAAACTCTTATATTAAAGTTTTGCTTAAGTAGGACGAGCGCTGACCCTGCAAATAGATAAGTAAAGCATGATTTGTGGTGGCTTTCCTCTCATAAGCCAGAAATATATTCAATCCCCTCTTCCCAGAAAAAAATCAAGAAGAGTGAAGAGTTTTCGAATTTGTCATGAAGATGAATTTGTAAGCCAGAGTGCAAAGGGTTGAGAAATGAAGCTGGTTTTAATGGCCAGGAGTAAAATGATAACTTGGGTACTTATAGGGTAGGGCTATTTTTAGCATGTCTTGGTAACTGTATTTTTTTTTTTTATTTTTACTTCAACTCTATCAAAGTACACCCACAATATAGATGAAGACATTTCCAAACCAGTCACACCAAATAGTTTCATGATGGATTTGCATCTGGAACTAATTCAAGCTCAGCACCGAATAGCTGTTGTGCTTCTTGACCAGTTGCAAGGTAGTAGTCATCAAAGCAAATAATTTGTTCTAAATCAATTTTAAGATAAATTTCAGTATTGAACAAATTTAATTATAAATTATGTTCTTGTCGATTGGGTGTTTTCCAGATCAATTTTATTATTTTATTTTTTCTTCTCTGGTTAATATTGAAAATAGATTTCATTATTTTTTTTGCACCTTCCATAGCTAGTAAGTTAGTAAACTTATAAAAAATGGTTTGAGCTGTAGTAAATTATTGGGGTTTCAGTAATTCAATGAAACATTTATCGAGTGCCTACCAAGATCCAGGAACTGTGATAGGCTTAGTATAAATAAGACACAGCTTCTACTTTTGAGCTTATAGATAGGTAAGCTAACTATAGCAATAGAGGTTGCTAAATGTAATAGAAATAGACTCAGAGTTTTAGTTATGGGCACATAGAAGAGTAGTATCTATATTAGACAAGGAAGTCAGGGATGACTACCTGGAAGAGGTGATCATGAAACAGAAAACTAACAAATATTATCTTTTTGAAGATCGAAATGAGGCCATCATTTTGGAGAGAGAAGTAATATTTAGTGGGGTAGAAGAACAATTGTATGGTGTAGTTTTAAGTACTACCGGAACTCTCTTATGGCTGGATAAAGAGCACATGGGGTGGGGGGAATAACATGTATGTCTAGGAAGGTAGATCACAGATAGATCTTGAAGGGCCAATGGCTTTATATTTTATCCTGGAAGCTAATGAGAAAACTGAGAAAGACATTTTTGACAACTGTCAGAGGACAGATGAGTTGAATCTAAGTAGTTCTTGCTTTATTATTAGGTAATACACGTAACATGTTTATTTGAGTCTCAAAATAAGATTTAATATCATTAGGTCTAAGAACTCTTCTGTTCAGGATTAAATTTTGATAAAACAAAATTACTCTTGACATGATTGTATAGCCACTATTAATATAACCAGCAATTCTCCATTTTAAATTACTGAGTAATAATAGAATAGAACTAAGTGTTGTGGTGTAATATGACCTCTGATCTCCATCTAAAGCCGTCAGAAGCATTACCATCATCTATACAGCTAAATAGATTTCATCAGATTCAGGTCTAATTAATTAATTAGTTAATTAATTTTTTAGTGTAAACTTTTACCCACCAGCTTTAGTAAGATATAATTGACATATAACATTGTGTAAATTTAAAGTGTACAGTGTGTTGATTTGATATACTTATTTATTGCAAAATAATTACCACCATAGTGTTAGCTAAAATCTCTATCATGTCACATAATTACCATTTCTTTTTTGTGGTGATAACATTTAAGGTATCTCTTAGCAACTTTCAAGTATATAATACAGTGTTATTTCTATAATCCCATGCTGTACATTAGATCCCCAGAACTCTTATCTTACAACTGGAAGTTTGTAGCTTTTGACCAACATCTCCCCATTTTCTCCACCCTCCCAGTTCTTGGTAAAACACCATTGTACTCTGTTTCTATATGTTCAGCTTTTTTAAATTCCACATGTAAGTGATATCATACAGTATTTGTCTTTCTCTGACTTATTTCACTTAGCATAATGCCTTCAGGGTCCATCCATGTTACTGTAAATGGCAAAATTTCCTTCTTTTTCACAGTTGAATAATATTCTATTGTATATATACTACATCTTCCTTATCCATTACCCTTTGGTGGACACAGGTTGTTTCCATATTTTGGCTATTGTGAATACTTTTGCAGTGAATATAGGTGTGCAAGATATCTCTTTGAGATCTTGTTTCCATTTCCTTTGGTGATACACCCAAAAATGGGATTGCTGGATCATATGGTGGTTCTATTTTTAATTTTTTAGGAACTTCTATACTCTTTTCCATAGAACCAATTTACATTCCCACCAACAGTACAGAAGGGTTCCCTTAGTTCCACATCTTCACTAACACTTATCTATTTATTGTCTTTTTGATAATAGATACTCTCTTTAACATGTGTGAGGTGATATCTCACTGTGTGTTTGATTTGCACTTCCCTGATGATTAGTGATGTTGAGCACCTTTTCATGTGTCTGTTGGCTATCTGTATTTCTTCTTTAGAAAAACGTCTATTCAGTTCTTCCACCCATTTTTTAATCATATATGTATATGTATAATATATATACACATTTTACTATTGAGTTGTATGAGTTCTTTTTTTGGGGAGGTATTAACTGCTTATCTAATATATGATTTACATTCTGTAGTTGCCTTTTAAGTTTGTTGTTTCTTTTGCTGTGCAGAAGTTTTTTAGTTAATATAGACCCACTTACTAATTTTTTATTTTGTTGTTTGTACGTTTTCTGTCAGATCAAGAAAAAAATTGTTGCCAAGACCACTGTCAAGATGCTTTTTCTCCTGTGCCGCCTTCTAAGAGTTTTAGGGTTTCAGTTCTTAAGTCTCTAATCCATTTTGAGTTAGTCTTTATGAGTGGCTTAAGGTGGGGTCTAATTTCATTCTTCTGCATATGGATATTTAGTTTTCCCAACACCATTTATTGAAGAGACCATTTTTTCCTTATTAGTTATCCTTGGCTCCATTGTCAAATATTGATTGAATGTATATGTATGCTTTTATTTCTGGGCTCTCAATTCTGTTCCATGGGTTTATGTGCCTATTTTTATGCCAGTACCATACTGTATTGACACTATAGTTTTGTGGTATAGTTTGCAATCAGGAAGTGTGATCCCCCAGCTTTGTTCTTCTTTCCAAGATGCTTTTGTTTATGAAAGGATACTGAATTTTGTTGCTTTAGTGGGGGAGGGGTACAAAAATGAGAAACATCTTATGCTGCCATGATGCTGACATCACCCATCTGTCATGCTATTCTTTAATCTAGAATAATTCTTGTAACTTTTTTTTCTTTTATGACTTATTTTTGACGATATGTTTCTAAGCCATCCTATGATCTAAGTTTTTCTGGTAGTTTCCTCATTTCATTGTATCACATTAAGCTGTGTATATTGTCTATTTGTCCTTTTTTTTGGTGAGGCAAAATATTATCATTTTGTTAAGGTAGTGTCTACCTCACAGTACCTTTTCCTCTGTGTAGTGAAAAAATAATTGGTATTGTCAGATGATGGCTTTGAGATGGAATGAATGTCTTATTCCCCAACAGATTTTCCCACCCAATAGTTTTAGCATCTACTGGTGATCCTTCTGGAATGAATCATTATGATGGCTATGCATGGTGACTTTCTAATTGAACTATTCATACTACATTTATTTGCTGACATTCTCCTGTGAAGAAGAGCTGTCCCTAATTTTCCTGTTTCAATTCTTTGAGTTATACTGTGGAATGGGTTTCTTTTCTTATTAAATATTTAAAAATCAGTTACTATCATTGTTCTTCCTGATGCTCAAAGTCACATATTTTGCCATTGTGAGGCCTCAGACTCGATTCTGTGTTCTTTTGCTATGTCCTCATTGTTTTTTGAGCAATTTCTTGCATTTTGCACAGCAAAATGTTCTAGACCTACCTTATGCTTTCTCCTCCCCAGACCTGGAATCAAGCCATTTTTTAAGGATACCTGGTTCCTTTTGGTAAGAAATAACATTTAAAAACCAAGATCTGTGAGTTAGGAGTGCTCATTGTTATTGGGATGTCAATTAGTTTTTGTCGTTGTTGTTGATAGAGATAAGAATATTCATTTATTTAAATCGCAAGTTCTTTCTGAAATTCAGAGTCCAACACAGTGTAAGTCTAGAGTTTTGCATTTCCTTTTTGTATTTTCCCTCTCCCATGTTGAAAACTCTGGTTTCCAGCAGTATCTATGTAATAAGTCATTTGCTTTATCCTGCTGTATTAACAATGTACTTTCAAAATTATTAAACCAATACCACTATTAACAACAGACCTAGTAAGTAAATAGAGGATTTCTTTGTGGTTCCTTTGTCTTTAGAATATATGACATACCAGAGACTATTCAAATTTGCTTGAGTTAAATCTAGTTTTTGTATAGTTAAGTTATCAATTTGATATGCACTTACAACTGCTTGTTGATATAAAATTTCCATTTTTTATTCTGTTATCCTTTTACATTTCATTTTAAACATTTACATTGTTTTAAAAACTGTTTCTTAAAAAACATACTTGGTGTGGAGGAGAGCAATAATAATTAAAATATCTGTGTCATATATATAAAATGAAGAACTTGATAAGGTTTTTCTAATACATAAATAAAGTAACTTAGAATAATAACTGAATATTCTTCAGTTTAAAAAGATTTGGGTCAGGAATGTATTTCAAAATGTGAATGATAGTTATGCATCAGGTTTTTTTTGAGCTAGCTCATGAATCTTGTTTAGTAGCTGTATTATCTTTAGTGGAGAAATAGTGAGTTATTTTCTCAGAGTTCACTCTCTATTGTCATCTGTAAATTTTTGAAAGCCAAATGATTCTCTGAGTTTTTATCAGCGACCACTTGAAAATAGTGAAAGTAGACTTAAACTTAAATTTAAGAGGAATATGCAATTATTTCTTTGTAGTATCTCTGGGTCTCCTTGGATTTTTTTTCTCTGCTTAACTGAACTACCCCTCTAGCACCGATTTTCAGCTTGTCCCTCCTGTCTTTCCTCACTGTTGTTTGCTGCTGCCAGACTCATACTGCCTAAGTACTGCTTTTGTCATTCTTATTCAAGAACTTTACAATGTTGCCTGTTGATGACAGTGGTGTTAAATATGACTCATCTTTAATGGGCAGTCAGAGTTTTCCTGCAATCTCATCCTTTTTACCTCCAATAATTATAATCTTGAGAGCTTAATTAGCATTTACAATACCCTAGGTACTGAGAGAATGACGTAATATTTTCTGTTTTGTGCTACTACCTCCCAGTATGTAAATTTCCTTATCCTTTGCCATTAAAGAAACCTTATAATCTTTAATGTCATCTATTGGCATCTTTTCAGCAATCACTATCCCCTGGTGACTGACATGCATTACCAAGATAATTAAACCTCAATTTAAGGAGTTTATTGTCAGGTCACTACAGGAACCGTCTCATACCCTCAAGGGCAGAAACACAATATTGCCAGGTCTCTTGAAGACCAGATCTGGAAAATCAAAAATCAGTGCAACATTCCCTATCTCCCTGGGCCAGCACACCTACCTTTATTCCTTTCTCCTCCATCTGCTTTCTCTTTTCTGAGCCCCCTTGACGGTCAGTCCCAATTGTACATCAGGGTGTCTCACGCTGCCCACAATCAACTGGCAGTAATTTGTGTTAGTTGAAAATCTTGAGAGAGGCTCTCATTTCATCAGCCACAGCTAGAGGGGAGTGGAAGTCTTCACATGGTGCTCTTGCAGGGGCCATGGATGAAGCAATTTTGAAAAGTTTATGAAAAGGGAAAGTGGACAAAAGTAGATTGGATCCTATTTATCTGTTATCAAAATGATTTTAAGATGAAATAGAAAATATGTATGTATATATACATATATGTATATGAATATGTGTGTGTGTGTGTATACTTGAGTGAGGATTAATTTGAAAATTCTTACGTCCTTAGGTATGTGGCAAATATAAGAAGATCTGACAATAAAACTGCTTTATGGTAGATTTGTTTGAATTTTTATATATCAATAGAAAAAGATAATATGATAGAGGAAGTGATAATTTCACAAATAGTTAGCTATTCTATAATGTTTAGAAAATATTTCCTTTTTTTGACACAAACCTAATTGTAATGGCAGTCTCCTTTTTCCTCTTCAGTTTTGCAGACTCCAACTGTTAGCAAAAATACATCTACCAAAAATCCAGAAAAGCTAAAACAATCTAGAAGCATTGATTGTTTTACAGGTAATTAAGACTGGGATAAGCCATTTTTCCAAAAATTTGTAAAGATAGTTTTATGTTATCCTTTGGTAAAATGTTTGTTTCCTTTTCCAGAAGGAAGTGTAATGAATAAAATAAGGAAGAATAAGCTATCCAAAGCGATTTACTTGATGCAAAAAGCTCTCGTAATATTTGAGAAAGATACAACCTCTACATCTTCACGTAACTTTTTGATGGTAACAACATATCATTTTTTTTTTTTTTTAGTTTTGACATACAGCCTCTGTTAAATGAATGATTTACTTCCCTTTTCTAAAAATAATGTGTTGTCCTTAATATTAGATTATGAACTTTCAGGTTTACCATATCTAGTCATCTGAGAAAGGGTACAATCCTGAGTAGGGAACCAATCTACAAGGTGGGCAAAAGTAGGTTTACAGTTATATGTGAAACAGTTTATTTCTGTATTATTCTTTATTAATTATTGTATTATTTTCCATACAAACAACTATAAACCTACTTTTGCCCCACCCTGTATACATCCAGTCCTGAACTCTCCTGAAATGAGAAATTCATTCTCTGTAAGGGTCACCTAACAAAGGAAGTCAAATGAAACCTGAAGGATTCAAAATGAGGGAAATTATAGAATTTCAGTGACACTGTGCCAGCATAATGCATTCCTTACTATGGAATTAAAATACTTAAAGTCCATTGGCTAAGGTACCCTCTCTCAGATGGATATTGCTAATTGCCTTGTTCATCTTGTCTCACTCTGGCCTATAAATTGTTCTGTCTTCTGGCTGATTCATTGTATGTTGATTTTAGAGTTTAAATGCCTGAGGACAATAATATTTCAAATCATGGAATCTTAAAAATTTTTCCCCTATGTATCACCCATACAATATCCGTTGTTATTGTCTGAGTGAATGGCACACAATGAGGCAGAGAATCATGCTACAAGTAGATTGTCTGGTAAGGGAAAGAAAACAAAAAACAGGTCAATGCTGGGGGGAGGATACAGAGTTAAGAAGCATTTGAGGGAGAAAATTTAGCATATTTATATGCTGAGAATGAAAAGCCATAAAAAGAGAAATGGAAGATATGACAGAGTGTTTAATACATAAAGTGGAGTCTGATAGGAGAGGGAAGGGGGTATGATTGAAAGCACAGATAAAAGAGGGTGGGCTGTAGGGCAGGCACCTCATTCTCTGATATCGAAAGGAAGGTGGAAAGAACAGATACAGATTTAATTAAGTCTCTTGGTGCGGAGGCCGAGAATTGAGCTGATTCCCTCTTACCTTAATTATTTGATAAAGTTGGAGTCAAAGATATCTCCCAAGAATAGAGAGTGAGGGTGGATAGTTGGACTAAGGCAAGAGATGACTGGAGAATGGAGAGGAACGGATGAGAGCGAGGTACCTCCACGTTAAAGGACTGACTGGCATGATCAAGTTCTAGCTGAGGCTGAAGACTATGAATTTTTAGGGAGCCCCATGTGCATGGCGGTAGGACATTATCCTGGTGTGGTATTTTTAGTAGCTGTGACAACAGAATATTTATTCCAGCAGAGTTTTGTATAGGGTTGAATTTTTTTAAGAAAATGAAAGCATAGGTTAGAAGTTTATAGTAAAAAGTGGGTGCAGAATGATTAGAAAAGGAAATGACATCATTAAGGGGCTTAAAGACTTGGTGACCATGGAGATGTTAAGGGACTGGGCATCTCCAGGAGGTCAGTGACCAGGAAATCAGAGTCTGAGAGAGCTGGAAGGGTAGGTTTTTGAGGTCAGGAAGTAGAATATTGGAAGTTAAGAATTCTGACATATAGCACTTCCTAGTCATCTGCCCATTACTGCATCCACCCAACAAATATTTTTAAGTGGATACGATCCATTCAGCAAATATTTATTGAAGGCTATTTACCTTGTATTATGCTGAGTACAGGGGACAAAAACAAACAAAAATCCTTTGTTTATTCAACAAATATTGATAGGTTGCCTTCTCTTGGTTCTTCCTGTCTACATGATAAATCTGGCCTATGGGAGTGTAGACAAGTCAGTAGATAATTATGGGTCAGTGTCATGGATGCTTGAATTGTAAGAGGGTCAGGTGAATTCATCAAGAGAAGACCTAACCCAATAGTGGGGAATGTTTAAGGAAACATCTAGAAAACATGACATGAAATTGAGTACTGAAAGATAAGGAGGACAAAAGGTAGAAAGGACATTCCAGGCAGAGAGAACAATGTATGTATGTAAAGGTCTTGAGCTAGATAGGCTATAGAGTACTTGTAGTCTAGTAGGTCACGCACTGTGACAGGAGCTTAGATGCAATGGCAAGGGGGTGATGGGGATGTTGGGAGAGGATAGTAAGAAGTGAAGACCAGACAGAAAGTAGTCTTTTTGATGAGAAGTATAAGGGTTTTGGATGAACAGATGCTATTGATGTTCAAGGTGGAAAGGTTGTCCTGGGTGTATTAGAGAAGAGCCCAATTAAATTAGAATTTCCAGCATTTGAGTGAAGGAGTCTGATGGTGTTGTTGGATATTTTCAGCTTACAAGGGCAAAATGGTGTCCGATCTTTGTTGGAAGACATGTTTTTAGCAGATGCTTCTATGGCCACTCACTACAATGTAGTGCTTGGAGGACATTGGTACTCAGTCTGATTTGTATGACAAATAAACCTCATCTTTCTTTTAGAACTGTTGGTCTCAGGACCAATCTTGAGCCTCTGGAGAGTAAAACTTCTGGGGTTTTCTCATTTGTGTTATTATGACCCAATCTTGTTTTTATACTGCCATGAAATACCCATTTCAGTTAAGTCTCTGTCTTCCTTCCACAGAGACTGGGGGACATACTGAGATGTGGGAAGTCTGAAGTTTTTGCATTCTCCTTGTGCATCTTTTTCTTCTATTTCTTAAGTGAACCTATGTTAAGAAAAATTGTAAATTATAATGCCCTTTGAGGATAGACTCATGACATGCATTTTGAGACCCTACTTTTTATGAGGGGTCCTCCTTAAGGATTTTCACCAACTAGCAAGTGTTGAATATTCATTTGGAAGTCCTGAAACCCTCTGTAGCCACCTCTGCTCCTCAGTGGTAGGTTTTTTATCCAAGTGTTAAGGCTTAATGATCAGTCCCTCAGGGTTCTCTCGTAAACAACGATGTTATGGCTCAAATAATTGCCAACTTTCTTTCCTTAAAGAAGACACATAAATTTCTTTCCCTTGGCAATCATTTTGTACTGGGGCATATTACAGAATGTTTTACATTATCATGATCTTGTAATAAAATTATCCCCAAATCAGTAACTGATATGTCACATGATACCATAAAACGGTTTCAATGCCTGGGTCTTTTTCAGAACTCTTAAATAATTCATATCCTGTTATAGTTTTTCAAAAGTTTCCTGACCTTGTGGAGCTGGATAATCTCATCGGGTGTCTGTTTTATTACAAATCAATTATGGGTGGATAAACTGGTTGCCATGAATGAGGGACAAACCTTTGATAGTACACAAATGAGGTGACTATTTTCTTGATTATGGGGGATGAATTTTTCCTATTTTCCTGCCTTGATTATTTGATTTTGGAAGTCCATATGGGCTTTTTACATGTTATACCTCAGATTTATTTTAATGGATTGCACCTAGAATCCATTGGGATGTCCTTGACCTTCTACTTCTGATCAAGTAGAGCAATTTTCATATGTCTTGCCATCATTGCTCTTGGACTCCACTAACTGAGCATTCAGTGCCTTTGCATATGGGATTCCTCATTGGAAAGAAGCAATACTACTCCTCCATCCATGTTCTAAGTGTTCCCAGGGCAGGGTTGTCTACTATTGTTTTCTGTTTGGCATAAACTTCTTTTTCTAAACATCTCCTTTTGAGGAATTTCTTTTTCCCCACGAGATGTAATCAGGTGGACTTTTCAGGGGCTTTCTTCTCTGCTGGCCCTGATGAGGACTAGTGATACAAGCAGGGGCAATTTGTTGCTCCCTTTTTGAAATCTGAATCTTGAGCAGAAAAATACAAAGATTAAACTAGTTGGTGTCCATTTATTCTAATCCCTGTGTCCTGATCAGACAATTATAGTTGTGCTCTGTAGACCCTGCTGCCCCGTGGGCCTGCTGTGGTCCAAGCCTGGTTTTTCCTGTTGCTTCTGTTGCAAAGACCCCTAACTGATGCATCTGGTGTTCTAATATTATTTGATGGAACCTAAACAACTCAATAGTTGAGATGATCTTAGCAGCTCCAAATTCCAGTAATAAGGCTTTGACTTTAAGCAAAGGAACATTAGGAGATTGTTTTTTATAATTGACACAGAATCTAATTTTATGGTCCTATTTTGGGACCAGAACTAATGAAGAAGCCCAGGCCACTAGAAGTTCTAATAAGTCTTGCCTTTAATATTTCCTAAGTTTATATTTTGATGTCCCCTAAATACTCTGTTAACTATGATGGTAGTAATTGGGTTACTGAGCATAATGGTTTTCCCTGTTTTATAGAATTTTAGTTAAATCAATTCTACTTGTATTTTGGGGGAAGAATATATGTCAACTAATTTTTTTTCAGAGATCTCAGCTCTTTTTAATCGCTCCATGCTGAAGTCTTTCTCGTAAAGAGCAAACATTTAATCGTTCTGACCCTTCCTGTGAAATCATGTTTTGACCTGCAGGCTTTCAACTACTTACAGAAGACTTAAGCATTTTTACATTTTAGCTCTTTTAAACATTTTAAGGGTATTGCACAGGCAAATTCATGGGGTTGCCCTTCTGATGAAGGTGTATAAGGGTCTTGGATTAGAGTTTTAGTTCTCCCCACTGACTAGCTACATGACCTAAATCAAGTTACTTATGTTCTCTTAAGTTTCAATTTATTCATCTGTAAAATGAGGGTTTTTAGGAAGATTAAATGAAATGATGCATATTTAATGCTTAGTGTTTGGCACAGAGTAAGGAGTCAATACTGTTAGCCAATAATAATATTATTACTACTGCTACTCTTATCTTCCACTTATAGCACGTTGGAGCATTGTTTTGTCATATCAGAACCATTTTTTTTTGGAGGTTTAGATGTCTCTTTCTCTATCAAACTATACATTTTCCCCTGTGTTTTCTTTTATATTGATCTTACAAATTGTGTATTTTATATTCATCAATATTTTTTTCCCAGGAGTCTTGGATATGTCTTAATTTACTTTTCATCTCCTTCTGAAACATACATAATAGTGTTAA